TATTTAAATGGTATTGGGAAATGTGGGGTTTTTTTTCCATTCATTCATGGGATGAGGGCACCACTAGCTTGGCCAACATTTATTGTCTACCCCTAATTGCCCAAAATGCCAGACCAGGTAAGGATGCCAGTCCCCTTCCCCAAAGTCCTTTAGGGAACCAGACAGGTTTTTCCAACAATCGGTAATGGATTCATGGTCGTCATCAGATTTTTAATTCCAGATTTTCACTGAATTCAAATTCTATCACCTGCCAATGGCAGGATTCAACCCAAGTCCCCAGAACATTACCTGCATCTCTGGGTAAACCGTCCAGCGATAAAACCACTGGGCCATCACCATCCCAACAAACAAAGAGATCCAGAAGTCCTTCTACACCAGTTAATGAAAATTGACAGATGCAGCAAGCAATTAGGAAGGTAAATGGTACACGGGCCTTCATTGCAAGAGAATGAGAGTTCAGAGGCAAGTATGTCTTTACTAGAGTTAAGGAGGGCCTTGGTGAGACCATACCCAAGTGCTACATGCAATTTTGGTTTCTCTGCACAAGAAAGAATATGCTTGCCATGGAGACCGTCTAGTTGAAGGTCACCAGGCTGATACTTGGATAGCAGGAGTGTCCTACAAGAAGAGATTCAATCAACTGGGCCTGCATTCACTACGGTTTAGAAGAATGTGAAGGGATCTGGTTAAAATATACAAAATTCCAACAGGACTGGACGGACTAGACAGAGGATATTCTCTTTATTTAGGGAGTCGAGAGGTGGAGGCCAGAGCTTAGGATACAGGGTAGGCCATTTTGGACAGGAGATCAGGAAACATTTCTTCACTCATAGGTTTACTGTGTAATTCTCCATCACAGAAGGCTGTAGAGGCCAAATCAAAAAAAAGACAGATAGGTACCTTTTTTTAATTTTAAAGGCACTGAGGTGTATGGAAAGATAATGGGAATAACATTGAGATAAGAGGATCAACCACGATCATGTAGAATGGCAGCAGGCTCAAATGCCACAGGAAATACTAAGAAAAATATGGTTTTAAACCCACATTAACCCCAATTTCAAACACTTGCCATCTATTTTTTTGTCATCTGCAAGCTTAACAGTAGTACATTCACTTTCCTGACCCAACAGATATTGGAAATAATTTTGGGCCCAGCATTGATCCCGGTGGTACTTCACTAGGTACAGGCTGCTACCATGAAAATGTACACTTTGTCCCAAATCAATTAGTTAGCCAATCCTTGATCCAAGCTCATCTACTCCCAACACCAGGGACTTTCTTAAGTCTTGCATATAGTACCTTATCAGGCACCTTTTAGAAAATCTAAACACGTTACGTCTACTAATTTCCCCTTTATCTACTCTACTTGTTATGTCTTCAAAGAACTATAATGGATTTATCAGGTGTGATTTCTCCTTTGTGAAGCTACGCTGATTCTAATTGATTATATGTGTTTCTAAATGCTCTGCTAGTACATCCTTTATAATAGATTCTAACATTTAACCAATAACAGATATCAAGTTGCAGTCCACAGCGACCTGCATTTTTGTCTTCCTCCCTCTTTGAATAAGGGTGCTACATCGAAAGTCATCCAATCCTCTGGCTCCTTTCCCAAATCAAAGCATTCCTGGGAGATTACCGACAGTGCATTCACTCTCTCTCCAGCAACACTTTAAAACTCTAGAATGCAAACCATTATATCAGCCTTTAATCCCATTAGTTTCCTTTTCACTCTACTTATTGTGAGTTATCTTCTTTCCCTTCCACCCCACCTCAAAACACTATGCCCACCTATCCGAAAACACTAAATATCCTCTACTATGAAAACTGATGTAAAGTATGTACTCAAGCCCTCTGCCATTCCAATATTCCATTATTTTCCAAGCCTAAGGATACTTTGGCATCTCTTTTCCTTTATGTATTTAAAGAAGCTCTTACTGTGTTTTTATGTTGCTTGCTCTTTATGTGGTCATCTTCTGTTGGCTTTTTAAAAACTTTGCCAATCCTCTGGCCTACCACTAAGCTTTGCCATATAGTATCAAATTAAAAGAAAAAATACATACAACCCTCAACTTCCTTGGTAAACCATGGGCAGTCTACCCATTCCCAGAATTATTCTCTCAATGGAATACATCTTTGCTGAGTCACAAATTTTCTTAAACATGTCATCATTCACAGTCTTTTCTGTTAAACTTCTTTCTCAGTCCATTCTAGTCAATAAAGCTCTTATCACCATGTAATCATCCTTATTTTAAGTTTGAGAATGAGTAACTTGGCTCAGAAACACAAACAATGCTAAATTCTACCATGTTATGTTCACTGTTTTCTAGGTGATCTGTTACAAAGATCACTTAGTAATATCTCATTACAAAATTATCAGATACAAAATAGCCTGATCCATGGTGGGATCCACAATGTATTGAATTCGGGACAGTTCAAAGCAACAACGAATTCTTCCTTCTGGCTACCTACGCCAATTTAATTTTCCAAATTTAAAACCAGGTTAGTCACACATGATTAGTGTAATGCTTTTTTTTTAGAAAACAGAAGAAACATACACTCATTATCTCATGATTTATTCTTTGTCCTGCAGAAAGTTGTTTATTTTCCCCATGCTATTTCTAACCTCCACGCATATGGATTCTACATCAATTGATCAAAGATCATTTGCTGTCACACTTATTCCATCTTATCCCAGCAAAGTTGGCCCATCACCAGTCCCTTTCTGCCTTCCTTTTGAAAAGTCACATAATAATGCGGGGATTACTACTTCGGAGGTCCTGCTCGATAATTTTCTACTTGCATCCCCAAATTCAGATTGCAAGAACACATCCCTTGCTCCACACCTACGTTATTGTGATCCACACTGGTACCAAGCTCCGCCTGTTCAATCTCCCCCAGAAAAATGGCCTGCGGCTGCTTTGTGACATCCTGGAGCACTGTTCCCCTGAATTGCCCATTCCTGTCCTCCTGTACAACTGAGCCACCCACTATGCCACAGGCTTGTCTCTTGTTGCACTCCTGAAGAATCATTGTCCTCACCCGTATCTGAAACAGATGAGAGCAAAATCATCTCAGGAGACTGCTGCACTACCTGCATGGCTTGTTCAGGCTGCCACTTTGGCCCCCATTCCTCATCTGCATATGTGACCACATTCCTCAACATGCTATCCCTATGGAGACTCCAGCCATCCCAGTGGTCCAGAGATCTGAGCTTATGTTTCTGCAGCTGTTAACACTTCCTGCATGTATTCACACATCTGGGTCACATGCAGTGTCCTCAACTCCAACATGCTACAGAATTGTCACTGCATATGGCCAAGCTGCGTTGCTATAACCTAATCTTACTTTTGGACGACTCACTACAAACACAAGTGGAGAAACATTTATTTACAATCTATAAAAACAAATTGGACGAGGACTACCAGATATAATACACCCTGGTTTGCAGCAAAGCTGTGAGAAAGTCAGTGTACGTGGTATACAAATAAATGGGCAAGAAAAGGTGGACAGCATGGTGGCTCAGTGGTTAGCACTGCTGCCTCACAGAACCAGGGACCTGGGTTCAATTCCAGCCTTGGGTGACTGTGTGGAGTTTACACATTCGCCCCGTGTCTGTGTGGGTTTCCTCCCGCTGTCCAAAAGTGTGCAGATTAGGTGGATTGGCCATGCTAAATTGTCTATAGTGTCAAGGCCAGGTGGATTAGCCATGGGAAATACAGGGTTATAAGGTAGGTCCGAGTGGGATGCTCTTTTGAAGGGTTAGTGTAAACTTGATGTGTCCAATTGCCTTCTTCCACTCTGTAGGATTCTATAAAACTAACTCTTAGTACAATTAATGGGCCTTGGTGAGATCACATGTAGAGTACTTTGTGATTATTGTTTCCTCATCAAGGAAGAATATACCAGCCTTCACAGTACACCAGAGGTTCACAAGATTAATTTCTGGAATGAGAGGATTGTTCTAAGGAAATTCAGCATAAATATTCTCTAAAATTTACAAGAATAAGGGGAGATTTAATTGAAACGCAAGAATAACGACAGTGGTGATTACAAGAGATTGTTTTCCTGGCTTTGGAGTCAAGAACTCAAGTGAATAAATTTCTCCTAATTTCAGTCCTATATAGCTGTCATTTTATTTTCTGAGGCAGTTGAGAACCAACAACAGTACAAATTGTATTTGCAGGCATATTGCTGGAGAATCAACAGAAATTCAGTGGCTGGTGACGCAATGGAGATTAATTATTACAACACGGTTGGAGGCATGCCTTTGTGCAGAAATATTAAACTGGTGTCAGTGAGAGGAGAAAAGGCCACATACAATGTGAACAACCAACAAAATAGTGCAGGGTCTGGGATGATAACATACATTTACATGCATGGAAGAGAAAAACATTTTTTTTTTCCTCCCTTGCAGCCCTATGGGATATTCATTCAGTCCTTTATGATGGACACAAACAAGGTTTACAAATCTTAAGATTTCACTCCTTTTTGTGCTCTCACAACCTAAAAGAAAATAAACAAGAACACTAATCAAGTTGATTATTTAGAGTACAATTCGCATCGAAACTTAAACTAAACCACTTCTTTTTCATGACATATGAAAGCACTGAAGGAAGTCTTCATTAGCCACGTACATCTCCACGGAGCCATCTTTCCCCGTAAGGTTAGTTCACAAAGGAGTGTTAAATTCCAAAACAAAACTTCACAAAGCCATTTGAAATGTCCATTTTAAGAGCTTTCTAGTAGCTATAGGTATGGTCCAGTGTAAGTCAGATACACACATCAAAAGCATGAATCCCACTTGTAAAGGCTGAAATTCGTAGTTTAAGCACAAATTTGTACGAACTTACCTAATTGCCTGGAGGCTTCAGTGTTGGTAGTGATTTTAGATAGTTACTGGAGAAATTGTTATCAGCTAACTTGCACAAAAGTAATATTCAAACCCCTTCAAATTAAATTTCACTAGTTTGTGGGAAAATAAGTGGCACCCAAACAAATTTCAATATTTATCATTTATTATGTTTGTAGTAATGTTTCCCCAGTGTTTTTATGAGAAAGAAAACATCTTCCAATTGTGAAATCGCTCTGGTCATGATCCTTCCATGAAATCTATAAAAAGTTTGACTTACACAGGGCCCTAGCTATAAAAGTACCAATTTAACAGCTATAACTATCCACAAGTTATTGCTTTAAAAAATCTTAATTATAATACAGTTTAATTTGGTTAACTTGTACCACAGATCTTTGTTTTAATTGTCTTTATTAAAAAAAAAACACTTAAATATTCATAACCTCATGTCATGCTTCATGATTCCGTACAGAATCAACACATTTCAAGTTGAGCTGATCACAGGGAATGAAAAAACACAACAAGCAACAGTCAGAACGTTCTAAACTTTCTAAAAGGAACTAAACAGACATCTAGTCAGATAACAGACTTTCATCTCAATATTTAATAGATGGTGCTGCATTAGTCAAAAACAGAAATACAGGCAGCAAGGTCTGAAATAAGCTCAAAGCCTCAATCTTATCACCTGATGCCAATAAAATTTCAAATGGAGACATGAGCAATACACAGTAGCCAGCAAGTTACTCTGATACTATCCAGATGTTCTTCTGCTTTTGAATATAGGTATAAGAACCTTAGAGAAGCTAGCTGAAATTATAAAAATTTAACTGGTTCTAGAAATGTCAGTGTGAATGTTCACAAGTGCACAACAGTTCTTAGTATTTGTTGTTAATGCAGTCCAGAAGCCTATATACAGAAATATATTATGTCACAATATACAGTTAGTCACTGTATTGTACATAAATGGAAAAATTATACATACTAGGTCAACAGGAGGCCAACAACAATGAAGAGGCCTCTACCACACTTCACGATTGCACCGTTATTTATGGGTTATCTATTTACGACTGCTTTTTATTCGCTCCAGTCTTTTCTTCAGATCGTCAAGGTTAGCTGCTGAAGTGGTATTACTGTTGGTCTGCATTGGTGGATGATGAGATTCTTGTTCTTGGTTGTATTCCCGTGAATCTCGAAGATGGGCGAGTTTATTATGTAGCAGCTCAGAGGATGATGCAACTGTAGGGACTGTTGGTTTAGACAGAAGTGAGGTTGCAGGCTGTCTTTCTTCATGCTGTACCAAAGTAGATGAGAAAAAGATGTTAGTTAGTGCCACTCAAAGTGTAGTAAAACATACATGAAACCAAGTTACATTTTTGAGGAGGAACAAAACAGTGAACTAAATTTCACAAGTGAATCCAGAGATTAAAAAGGACCCACTAAGAGTCCATTTGGTGTAGGTACACCCACAGCACTGTTTAGATGGCAGTTCCAGAATTTTGACCCAGCAGTGAAGGAATGGTGGTTTGGTTTCAAATCAGATGGTATGGGGCCTGGAGGGGTACTTACAGATACAGTGGTACTCCTGAGCATCTACTGCCCTTATTCTTCTTCTGTCACATGTTTTTGCAGTGGGCATATACGAACACCACAGCACTGTAGCAGCAGAGGGAATCAGTGTTTAAAGGTGCTGGATTAGGCGCCAATTAAGTGGACTACTTTGTCCTCGATGGTGTCAAGATTCAAGTGTTGCTGGAGCTGCATCCATCCAAGCAGGTGAACAGTACTCCACAGTCTTCACTTGTGTCTAGAAGATGGCAGACAACACTTGTGGAGAAAGGAGGCAAGTTACTCACCACAATTTCCAGTCTGAAGAAGTTTTTTGTAGTCACACTATTTATATAGTTGGTACGGATGGATAGTTTCTGCTCAAGAACAAATTCTAGGACCATGTTGGTGTAGGAAATCAGTGAATGGCAACAGCTTTGAAGTTAAAGGTCGGACGTGATCACTACCTGGCTCGTGACAATATGGGCATTCCGCACAAAGGTACAGAATGCTTCATCTTTGGAAACGTTTAACTGAAGTGAATGCTGAGCTGTCAGCAAATCCCTAATTCCTGATGTTATGATCAAGTGACAGTCATTGATAAAGCAACAGAAGATGGCCAGCCCAAGAATGCTAACCTGGAGGAACACCTGCAATGACGTCCTATGCAGAAATAAATCGGTCTCCAACACTCAATGCTCTCCTCTTAGGCAGGAATACATCATGCCAAGCACATTTCAATTTTACACGAGGTCCTTCATGTCACACTATCAAAATGCTGCCTTGCTGTCAAATAAGGTCAACCTCATCTCAACTTTGGGATTCAGCTCTTTTGTCAATGCTTAGACTAACGCAGGCCAAGGATCTGGACCCAAATGTCCCCTGGCAGAACCCAAAACGAGCACTAGTATGTAAGGTTCTTGTTACGCAGGTGCTGCTTATTAGCACTGTCATGGTCTTCTGGAAGGTGTTCAAGAGTGGCTGATAGGGCAGTAATTGCCTGGTTTGGCTTTGTCCTGTTTCTTAGGAAATTTTCCTTATTGATGAGCAGAGGCCAGCATTTCGGATATGCTGGGACAATTTGCCTGCAGATGCACTAAGTTCTAGAACATAGGTCTTCAGTATCACAGCTGAAGACACAGGACACAGCCATTTTTATTTTTAATTTCGGATATGAGCAGCACTGACTGGGACAGCATTTAGTGCCCATTCCTTGTTGCACTCGAAGGAGGTGGTGAACCATCTCTTGACCTGCCACAGTCCATTTGATGTAGGTACATCCGCTATTCCATCAGGAAGAGAGAGTTCCAAGATTCTGAACCAGCAACACTGAAGGAACAGTGACATATATCCAAGTCAGGATGGTGTGTGACTTGAAGGGGAATTTGAACTGGTTGAAATGGACTGAAAAGTGACGTCTAAAATACTGGAGGTTCTTGGGGTAGCAGCAAAGATTTCCAGCAGGACTTCTAGTTAAAAGATGGTTGAAAATGCTGTGTCTTTTGCCCTGGCATGCTGCCATCATTCAAGATAGGGATGTTTGTCAATTCTCTTGCTAATTGTTTGACCTTCCACCAGCATTCATTACATCATATGGCAGTACTGTAGACCTTTATCATACCTACTGGTTGTTGGATCGCTCATCGATAGTATACTTATTTAGCATGAATGTAGTATTGTGGCTTTACAAGGCTGTCAATATTTTGTATACCTGGTGTGCTCCTTGCATGCTCTCCTGCATTCTCTCTTGAAGCACATATGATCACCTGAGTTGATGATAATGCTAAGAGTGAGGGATTTGCCAGACCATGATGTTACAGATTGTGGTGGAATATAATTCTGATTATAGCCCACAGTTCATTATGGATACCTAGGCTTATCACCTAAAATCAGTGCAAAATTAATCCTATTTAGCAAAGTAGTAGTACCACATAACATTGAGTATGTCTCTAGTCTGAAGACCAAATGTGTTTCAAGGATCCTGTAGCAGTCACCACAAAATAATGGTATGGGGAGTTCCTTCAGTAACAGCTGTGTATATTGAGGATTAGGTGCTCAAGGTGGAGTATTAATTCATCAGCTAATTGAGGGTAACAGGCAGTAAGCAGACAGTTTCTTTGCCCATGTTTGACCTGATGTGATGACATGAGATCCAAATTCAAATGTTCACGAATTCCAGGGCTACTTCCTTCTGACACAACTGTGTTGGTTCTGTACTGCCCAGGACACAACCAAGGATGGTGACAGAACCATATCGATACATCAGTATCTCAGACTGTTCTGTCAATGTGAATCGCAGGCTGTTGCTTGACTACTCTGTGGGAGAGCTCTACTAAATTTGACTGAAGTCATAGATCACTAAACAGTGACCATAATAGACCATGGCTGAAGAAGAGCAGTAAGCAGCAGTATTGCTTTGAGCCAGTGGCAATTCCAAAAACATTACCCGTGTCATTCAAAGAGTGAAAGTGATTATGCCACAAAGGGCTACCAGCTGGCCTATCAAGTCCATGCCTGATCTAGAGCAATCGAAATCAGTTCAAATTTTTCAATATATGCCCATAGGCTGCAAATTTGTCTATCACTGTTGCAATATCCAAAACCTCTCAAGCAATTAGTTTCAGGTCTTTACCAGTGTAAAATTTCTACCCTATATTTCTCCTGTAACTCTTGCTAAAGCCATAAATGTCTCCTAGTCTTTGTATTATCAAACTGAAGGGAACAGGGTTTTGTTTGCCTCACACAAGCCAGTCCTAACTTGGCACAGCACTAAAGGCTGTCTCAGCTTTATTTGTTCCAAGGAGACCCCAGCTTCTCCAACCTCATGTTTACCAAATCCGCCCCGCCTGAAACCATTCTGATAATCTCCTCTGCATCCATTTCCTAAACAAGTGATGAACAGACCTGGATGGAATCATTTCATTATGACCTAGGCTCACCTTTAGAATAAATATGTTCAGCTCAAGATCCCATTTGTTAAATATTCTTTTCACGTGTCCTGCAATCTTTAAGGATTTACACACGAACCTCTTGATCTGTCCTTCCTGTACTCATCACCCAAATCACTTCTCCCTATCCCTGCTGCCAAAAATACATCACTGGACACCTCTTAGCACTAAATTCCATTTGCAACTTTACTGCCATTGTGCTAGCACATATCTTGTTGGAACCAACTGGTTTCATCCTCAGTTTTCCACACTTCCAAGGTGTGATCATTGGCAACATCTGAAATTTTAGTCTGCATTCCAATAATGAAATCATTAATAAACACTTTGTGTTAGCGTTTATTAAAACTACTCTAGTCTTGCCCTGAACCTTTAAACGTGATCACCTTTTTGGACCTTAAAAGGGAACAGCAATATATTCCAAGTCAGGTGATGGTGTCCCACACGCCTGCTAGTTTCTCTCCAAGCAAAAGTAGTTGGTTAAGGCATGGTATGTGATTTGGGTGAAAAAGGAACTGGAAACTAGAGTCTCACAGTAGCAACAGGCACTTAGAACATGTACTGCACAACAATATAGAATTGATTAAGGAAAGTTTCTAGGATACACAGATCATCTGATAAAACATGCTATCGAAACACCAAGATGTCAATGAAAACAAAACTCACGTTACCTTTGAATTATTTTCTAAGCCACAACGCTGCCGCAGAATTTTTAATCTTTCCAAGTATACAGCTGGACCAACTTCTTCTCCATTAGTACTAACCGCAGAAGGGACGGAGGTGGAACTTGCCACATACGGTGACTCGTCTGCAGGTGATGAAAACCCTGCTAAAAATGGAAATAAAAGTACACATTAAAAAGGGATCAAATACAAAATGAGAATCCAATCTGCCCATTCTCGAGCTCTTTTCCAAGAAAGAGAATTCTACTGTATTCAATCTTAATCCTACCAGAACTGGACGACGAAGAAATTCTTCCTTTTCCTTCTCTCTCATTTTCAACAAGTCGCAAACCCCTTTCAATGTAATTCTGAAAGAACTGAGAAGATTTCCTCAAGAACGGTTCAATGTCTGCATCCGAATACTTCTTTCTGTACTCGTAAAGTTCTGCTAACCCCTGCGCAGAGAAGGGAATAAGGTTAGCTCTCCAGTGCAATATTACTTAGAAGGTAATAAAAAATAGAAAATACCAGAAGCAAATCAGCAGGTCAGTCAGCATCTATGGAGACAAAAGAACAGCATTTCAGGTCTGACCTTTCTGACAAAAGTTGTTTTCAATGTTATGAAAGGCTTCAATACAGTTAACAGGGGAAGACGGATGCAGCCAAATGTGGGAGAGACCAGAATTAGTCAAAAAGAAAGATAACTACTAATAACTCCAGGGGGAACTTCAGGAAAATACTGAGCAGCTGACACGACTAGCAAAGATTAATTTAAGGATGCTTGATAAATGCGCCAGGGAGAAAGAAATAGAAGGGAGTTCGGGGCTTGGGTGGAGGGTAGGAGGTAGCTAGTGTGGTGCTTCAATATTAGAAAGGCTTGTTTCTATACTAAGACTATTAAATAAAATTATTTGATCAAAAATTTAACCAGAGCTATTTAAAGTTGATTAGTCAAAATCCTATTCCTAACTTATCTGCTATGCTAAAGTACAGTTCGCCCAATTTACGAGATTTAATATTTCAAGATAAAAAAAGTCACACCAATATTTTGTATCTATTAGAAAATACATTTTAAAGCCGAAGGTTCATGGATTGATTAGAAAAGCAGGCAGAATATCTCGTCTCATAACAATGGGCAGTGTTAATCATTTCCCCATTTTAATATATTTAGGAGAGATGGTAGTATAGTGGTAATGTCACTGGACTAGTAATCCAAAGACCTACTAATATTCTGTGGATGTGGGTTCAAACCTTACCATGGCAGCTAGTGATGTTTATTTGAGTCAAGAGAAAGAGTAGGTGTCCAGAAATAACTTCAGCACGATAATCTTGACATGTGGTCTTCAGATGCCTGTCACCTAAAAATCTGAGGCATGGGATTAGAAATTCTGCAGCCTGCCTCAATTTCACGGTAATGCTGGGCCTGCACTTTGTGAATGTGACCTCCAACAACATATAATGGAAAGTATAAGGAAATGCCATTTCTTCCCCTCTGAGGGGCAATGAAAGCAGTGCCATAGTCATGGGGCTTGAGAAAGCATTTTCTAAGTTAAAACCCATGAATTCAGGCCAGGTAGTACGCATGAATAAGAAACTAAGTGAGCAAAGAATGCATTCAAAAAAATTCAAACTTGCCTCCCTTGTGTTTTCTTTGGATCCAATCTTCTTGAATATTTCTGCCAAAGTTTCACTTATCTTTGCTTTTGATTCTTTATCTTCCTACAGAAAAATTTATAATCTTTAAATATTAATATTTAAAGATATTTTATTATTCACTATTACATGTTTTAGAAAGTCTAAATTCTGCTACAAGGTAAATCACAAGAATCTTGTTTTCTGAATTTGACTTGCTACTTTTCTAAATCAATTAGATTTTGAAATCTTTACCAATAGGTTAACATTAAAACCTTATTCCTTTGTCATTTCAGTACATTAGAAAATAAAAAACAAGCATTCTGTAGATAAATGCAAATAACTATTGAATTATTGTGTAATAGGTCATATTAGCCAATGATTAATACATATTCCTTATTCTGAAAGTTCAACAATCACAAATTTCTCTATGATAAATAATTCCCAGCTTATGTGCAAATAACAAATAACAGCAAAATACAACCATTTTGGTTAGTTAATTCAGAGATAGTAGGAACTGCAGATGCTGGAGAATCCGAGACAACAAAGTGCAGAGCTGGATGACACCCATCTCCTACCTACTAATCTCATCCCGCCCCCTTGACCTGTCTGTCCTCCCTGGAGTGACCTATCCCCTCCCTAACTCCCCACCTACACTCACCTTTACTGGCTCCATCCCTGCCTCTTTGACCTGTCTGTTTCCTCTCCACCTATCCTCTCTATCCATTTCACAAGCTTCAAAATCTCCCCTCCCTCTACCGCATCCCAAAACCAGCCCAGCTCGTCCCCACCTCCCACCTCAAGCCCCACCCCCATCTCCTACCTACTAATCTCATCCCACCCCCTTGACTTGTCCATCCTCCCTGGACTGACCTATCCCCTCCCTAACTCCCCACCTACACTCACCTTTACTGGCTCCATCCCTGCCTCTTTGACCTGTCTGTTTCCTCTCCACCTATCCGCTCCTCTATCCATCTTCTATCCGCCTCCCACTCTCTCCCTATTTATTTCAGAACACCCTTCCCCTCCCCCTTTTCTGAAGAAGGGTCTAGGCCCGAAACGTCAGCCTTTCTGCTCCTATGATGCTGCTTGGCCTGCTGTGTTCATCCAGCTCTGCACCTTGTTGTCTTGGTTAGTTAATTTTTCACTTTCGCAAAAGGCTCACTCTAAAATGTGTACTAAATTAGACTTGTTTTACAATGACACTGTGCGAGAACATTGTGCACACTCATTTTAATATGCTCAAGGGAAAGCTGCCAGAACACAGCTCCATGGAAAGAGAAAGGGTACAAATCAGAGTCAATTCTGATCTTGTCCACATACAAATGCTCCCAGAAATTCGAATCTTGGGACAATTTTCCCTTCCAAAAATGGACATAAATGGTTAACTACAGCACGTGGTCCGAGATCAGCTAATCCAAAATCAGCACAACCAAAACGATTTAAACCAATTTATTTTGATCTTCACATTTTCAGTTCTTTGCAATAATCACAGACAAGGGTTCCCAACAATAAGGATACATGCAAAATTCAGGTGTTTGACTCTTTATAGTTCCAGGCTACATTAACATCATTTTTAATTCCTTTCTTTTCATGAAGTAACAGGGAATGCAAGAACCAGATTAGCCAGGCAGCAGAGCAACATTACTTGATGAAAACAGCCTTCGCTCCGCAAGCAATTTAGAAGTTTATTTAAAAATTTGGCTATGGGATCTAACTGTCCATCCACAATTGCCCTGAGGATGTTGATGACCTGCCTTCTTGAACTGCTGCAGTTCATGTAACTACACCAGTGCTGTGAGTAAGTTGCAGGATTTTGACCCATATAGAAGGTTCCCAACACCTACATAAAGACAATTATGACCCTGTAAGGACTCTATTCCATTCCTCTAGGTCCTCTAGCTCAGCTTTCTAACATATGTCAACTTCCACAGCAGTTTGCCAGGCTCACTGACTGCGTCCACTGCATTTCTGTCCTTAGCTCTACCCACTGATAACCACTGTAGGGCTCTTCTTGTCCTCATCTTTCACCCAGTAGCCTTTATTTTTAAGGGATTATCCTTGGCTATTCTGACCAATGTAACCCTTACCCATTTTCTAGTTTTCAGAAAAAAAAAGTAAAATCATCAGATAATCAGCCTTCTCTCTCCCCACAGAAGTTACTCAACCTTCTAAATATTTTAAGCTTTGCATGTGTCCATACACAGCAAACTGTGGGCAACATCCAGATTTGAGCTGCTGGATGGTAAATAACATTCACAAGTATCATGTAATGACATATCTAACAAGAAACAATCCAATCCCCTCCACTTGGCATTCAATGATATTCCCCATTATCAACATCATGGGGGATTACCTTTGACTGGAGATGAACTGGACTAGCCATATGAATACTGTGGTTACAAGGAACCAGGCATGTTACTAAGAGTAAATCACCTCTTGTCTCCTAGTTCCCTGCCATGATCTAGAAGCCAGGAGTATGACTGATTAGTCTGTACACGTAACTGGATAACGCAGCTCCAACATTGATGAAGCTCGACACTATCCAAGAAAAAACTCACTGGATTGGCGCCCATTCACTACCTTCAACATTCACTTCTACCACCACCAACAAATAACGGCAAGTGTGAATTATTTAAAAGTAACAACTACTCACCAAGCCTACTTAGGCAGCACCTTCCAAATCCACAGTATCAACCATCTAAAAAGGGGCAAGAACAGTAGATATGTAGGAACACCACCATTGGCAAGTTCCTCTCAAAAAAAGAGCCACACAGCATCTTGACCTCTAATTATAATCACTGCTTCCTTTGTAACTGGGTCATAATCCTGGAACCGCCTTCCTAACAGCATTATGGGTCGATCTGCATTCGAAGGACTACAGCAGTTCAAAAAGACAGTTCACCAGCAACTTCTCAGGGGCTGTCATGGATGGGCAATAAGTGCTGGTTTACACATTGTGAATGAATAAAAAGCAGCTTCTAAAAAGCTTCTATTTCTACAGTACCATATTTCAGTTCTGGGCACACCTCGGGAAGATTACACATGAACAATGAAGTTTGAGGTCAGGTTTTGTATACCAGGTTTGTACTCACAGGATATAGAAGTTAAGGGATGAACCAGTTCACGTGTTCATGATTAAAAGAAGCCAGTAGTGCAGAGAAAATCTATTTGACTCAGGAAAGTCCATAAAATTTAAAATTGGAGCTAGGTTGTTCACGAAGGACTGTTCAAGTTGGAAATCTTTCCCCAAAAAAATCTCCCGGGGTAAGACTAATTGAAAACTTTGAAACTGAAAAGCTATCTAGGCAAAGATATTTGGGGCAGAAACAGTTCAATAATTGAGAAAGTATAATAGAATTAGGGTGTATCTTCTGGTCAAACAGGCAAAAGAAAGCTATGAATTTCGTAGCAAAGGCATAGAACCCTACAACCCCTTCTGACAATCCCAAGGTAAAAGCAAATCCAAGAAGTGTGCACACATTCAAAACATTCAACAATGTTTTTACACATTTAAAGATGACTGCCATTGGCTCAAAAATGCAAACTTGATATTCAAGGTTTACCTGCTGTTAAATAGCAGATAGTAAGAACTGCAGATGCTGGAGTCAGTAAGGAGCTGAATTGACACAGCAGCTCAGGCAGCATCAGAGAAGCAGGAGAGAGCAAGCAGAGATGTTTCGGGCCTGGACCTTTCATCAGGAATGGGGAGAGGGGGATAGGTGGATGCAGGCTGGGGTAGTGGGGAAAATCGGTCAGTGGGAAGGAGATGGACAGGTGGTGTCAGGTCAAGGAGGTGGGGCTGAGAGGGAGGCATGGATACAGGGATGAGGAGATTTTAAACTGGGTGAATTCTAAATGTTTAGGCTATTAGGCTGTAGGCTCCAGGAGGTGGAGTATGAAGTGTGGTTCCTCCAGTTTGCGTATGGCATCACTGTTGCACCAGAGGCAGCACAGGATGGACACATCACTAAGGGAGTGCAAGGGGAGTGCAAGGGGAGTAAAACGGTTGGCGACCAGAAGGTGTTGTTGATTATAGCGTACAGAGCACAGGCGATCTGCAAATCTGTCAGTCTGTCATCAAGTCTACGTTTGGCCTCACTGATGTAGAGGCAGCCACAATCGGAAGCAACGGATACAGTAAACCAGGTTGAAGGACGTACAGCTGAATCCCTGTTGGATATGGAATGTTTGTCTTGGGCCTTGGATGGAGGCGAGAGGGGAGGTTTAGGGGCACGTGTAGCACCTCCTGCGGTTGTACGGATAGGTGCTGGGTGTGGTGGGGTTGGTGGGCAGTGTGGAGCAGACAAGGGAGTTGTGGAGAGAACAGTCCATACGAAAAGGCAGACAGGGGTGGGGAGGGAAATCTCTTTGGTGGTGGGGTCAGATTGTAGGTGGCAGAAATGGCGGAGGATGATACGCTGGATGCGGAGGTTGGTGGGATGGTAGAAGAGTACCAGGAGAACTCTGTCTTTATTTTTGTTAGAGCAAGGGGGTTTGAGGGCAGAAGTGTGGGAAATACAAGAGAGATGTGGTTGAGAGCATTTTCAATTAATGGAGGGGAGACATTGTGGTCCTTGAAGTAGGAGGACATTTGGAATGTCGCGGAGTGGAATGCTGCATCTTGGGAGCAGACACAGCAGAAGCAGAGGAATTGGGAGTAACGATCGTCTTCTTGCAGGAAAATGGGTGACAGGAGGTGTAGTCAAGGTAGTTGTGTGAGTCAGTGGGTTTGAAATAGATGTTGGTGCTGAGATGATTACCGGATATGGAGACGGAGGGGTCCAGGAAGGGGAGGGAGGCATCAGAGATGGTCCAGGTGAATTTGAAGTTGGGGTGAAAGGTGTTAGTAAAGTTGATGAACTGTTCAAGCTCCTCGTGGGAACACAAAGGCAGTGCTGATAGTCATTTATGTGCTGGAGGAAGAGGTGAGGGATGGTGCCGGTGTAACAGCCAAAGAGGGACTGTTCCACGTATCCTACGAAGAGGCAGGCATAGCTCGAACCCATACGGGTCCCCTTTCCCTGCAACCGCAGGAGGTGCTACACCTGCCCCTAGACCTCTCCTCTCACCTCCATCCAAGGCCCAAGACAAACATTCTGTATTCAACAGGGGTTCATTTGTACATCCTTCAACCTAGTCGACTGTATCCATTGTACAGGAGGCCACATCGGGAACATCAGTAAGACCAAACGCAGACTCTGAAGATTTGCAGAGCATCTGCGCTCCATACGCCATAATCAACATTACCTTCTGGTTGCTAACCATTTTAACTCCTCTTGCACTCCCTTGGCGACATGTCCATCTGGAGCCTCCTCCAGTGCCACAATGATGCCACATGCAAACTGGAGGAATAACATCTCATTATTCCACCTCACGAGCCCTACAGCCTGATGGCCTAAACATAGAACTCACCAGTTTCAAAATCTCCCCAGCCCCCAGCCTCACATGTCCAATCCTCCCTGTCATCCCCACCTCCTTGACTTGACATTACCCGTCCATCATCTTGCCCATGTATCCACCCACCCTTCCTACTGACCAATCCCCACTACCCCTACCTGCATCCACCTATCGCCATCCCACCTACCTTCCCCCAGCCTCATTCCTCTTTCTTCTATTTATTTCCCAGCTCGCTTACCCCTCCCCAGTCCTGAGGGATGGTCTAGGCCCGAAACGTCGACTCTCCTACTCCTCTGATGTTGCCAGACCTGCTGTGTTCCTCCAGCTGTATTGACTTTATTGACTTTAACTACTCTTGCCTATATGACACTTACTATTGTCGAACCACCCTTTTCTGTGTCTGAATCAATCTTTCCACCTGTCAAAGCCATGGAGTGTTTAGTGACTCGTCGCAGATAAGCCTCAAGTTCAGATTCATTCTTATTCTCAATTAATGCCAGATGATCCATAATCTGGTAGAAGGAACAGTTGAGACAAGTTAAACTTTGAACATAATGCCAGCTAAATCAAATTGTGGATAAAATTATAATCCAGATTACAGAGAAATTAAATTAAATCTAAATTCAATCTGCACCATTCCATTTTAGAAAACGTGTGACTAATTTAATTAAGGGAATGTCTGAATTTGTACATTTCCAAATCTAGCTTTGCTATGTTTGAAGTAATTTTCAATAGTCTAATCAGAATAAACAATTGGAGTATAAAAATACTCATTAGTGAACGCTGAAGATTGAACAGGATCAATTTCATTTTTTTAAAATTGCTGAAACCTGTTTCCCCATGAAAAAAAGATGTATATTTAAACGCATCTTATTTCTTCACTACCAAAGAACTCAGCTGAGAAACTAGCATATCCATTGCATGTGAAGGAACATTTTTCAAGATCAACTTGTGTCCTGGAATTTGAACACAATTATAAATTACTCACTTACCAGTGAGTAATGGTGCCTATTGCAGCTGTTCTAAAATGAAAATTCATCATGACTGAAAATAAATTTACATCACCTGCAACTGAAATCCCTCGTCTGATTTCCTTTACCACTTTACCCACTGTACGTCACACAAAAGACTGACTTGGTTGTCAGGAAACTTTTTAACAATGTCCTCTAATACGAAAGAACAATAACTGCACTCTAAATAGCAAATACCAAAAAAAGTCAAACCTTAGGTCCCAATAACTTGCAAAGTGTATGAAGTAACGTCTTCTGTGTTCTCATGGGAAGATCACTCTTCATCTGCTTTAATCTCTCCCTTGGGAAAACCCGCATGAAATTGTGTATGTCCAAAAGAATTCGGTCAACATTGATAATGTTCACATTATTTGGGAGAAGGCGTATCATACGCCACAAACACTAAAAATATAAAAGAACAGAACTTAACCAATTAGTATGTGTAGAGCTTTAGGAGAAAATAAAATAAAAAATAAAAATTGAGATTCATGTTTAAAGTGTGATGGACATTACCTTCATAACTAGTTCTGAAAACTTTGGAGTGTTATTTGTTGTAGCCAGAAGACTATCCTGCAGAAGCACAATCAAGGAACTGCAACGCAAAGTATTTCTTTAGCTAATAATTATTGGCACAATAATTCTCAAAGCAATCAAGTTAACTCATGAGGTTGCAAATTGTTTAACTGTTCTGATCATGAAAGTCATTCAGACTTCCAAACAGATGGGGAATTGCTTCTCCTCTACTTTTAGCTCATTAATGCCCTATCTACTTTTTAACCGTCGAGAGCTATATGCAGGCTAGACAAGGACAAGCGAAAAACCAGAACGTCATCACACAAAAACAGTTACTCATTTCCATTCACCCCATAAAGAACAGCTCAAGAAACAGGGCTCTTGCAGTGCAGTGGCAGTGTCCCTACTTCTGGGCCAGAAGGCACGGGTTCAAGTCCCACCTGCTCCATGTCATAACGGATCTGACCAGATTGGTTCAAAATATCCAAGTGTCATCATGGCCCCCAAACAATACACCAGGTAGAGATGACAACCAAAAGCAAGGGCATAGGAGATTTCATTTCCAAATGAAGATCACTTTGCCGGCAAGACTAGTTGTTATTTCTCTGCCTACAAGATCAAGCCCAAGCATCTCCAATACAGTCTTGAAAAAGGAGCATCTATTTAAGGTTAAACATTAGATTTAAAATAAAAGGAGACACCTTGAGTGATTAGGGCTTGAAATACATAGCTATTATCTGAAGCAGACAAAAAAAAAAAGTATAGAACTGGTTGACATGACATATTTAACCAGATGAAAGTAAGATGGACAAAGGGCTTCTGCAGACAAAAGATTAATGAATAAATGGTAAAGTATTTTCAAAATCCACGTCATGGTCAGAATTCAACATAATCCTATATAGCATCAAACATCATTTCAAAAACATGCTGAGAGAAACTATAAAAAAAAACTTAGTGTCAGATTAAAAAAAGAGGAGTTAGTTTACTTAATGATTACCCATCCAGTGTTTACATTTTTTTTATTTAAATACATCTGAAGAATTTTAGGTCGAATGCAATGGACTAATTGTGCATTATTTGTTGACTTTACAGGCATCTTGTACGTTTCCCCAGTTATCGTTGTAGATTTGGGGTTAAATGTTAGTCCCGAGATCCACTGTTCCAACTACAGCAGAGAAGAGTTTCAGTCCGCAGCTGGTTTTGTTGATGGTATAGGTTTAGGTATTTAAAAAGCAGGAAACGTTGCAGGAAGATATAATTAAAGATTTGTTTTGCTTTTGTTAAATTAGGATTATCATTGTTCTGTAGTTGTCAGACAGTTTGGCAACAATGTTCATGTTATAACTGACCTCATTTCCTGCCTTTTTACAAGAAAGCATCTCATACTTATCAAGAATCACCCTTTAATGGTGTGGTCAAGATCATGAGTGGAAGTGGCTTGATTTACTAATCAATAAAAACTTAAGGTTATTTACTGTTTGTCCATTAACATTCACAAAACACAAACTTGAACAACTTTAAAATGTCAACTACCTTGCTGAGTATAACCAGGATATGTTCCTTTTAATTCAGATTTCTAGCATCAGCAGTATTTTGCTTTTGAACATAAAAGTTGAAATAGCCATTGTGCCAAAATGGGATACTTTAAATGCAGATGGCTCTTCACTAAAATGAGTTCCAAAAGAGAGAGGTTTCAAAAAAATTCTCAGGCGTTCATACCTAATATAGCTACATCAACTTTGTTTTACTCTTACCTCAGGATGTTGGTCGGATCTGATTTTTCCAAGACCTTGACCATCAACAAATTGACTGATCGTATAACTTGTGGACCTTCATCTAAGTCTTCCAAGCGTGAGTCCAACATCAATAATATTAATCCATGCATCAGATCTTTCAGGACTCCCATTGAAGCCTCCTTGGCCAATGTTTCTATTTGGAACAACTGATCAAAAAAAAAGTAAAATGAATCTCTCTCCTGTTCTAAGACATTATGTAAAAAAAATTCATCTTTGATATAATGGAGGTCAAAAAAGCAAGCAATATGTTATATGAAACAATTTTCATTTAAATTTTGGTTTTCAAAATTATTTAAAATGTTCTGCTCCCCAGAGTTTGACTCTTAAAATGCTGGAAGACAAGTTTTTAAATAGCAAAAGGAAGGTGTACAAATCCTGGATCACAGTGCAAGGGGGAAGTTTGATTGTGTTACCCAACATTAATATTTTCAGAGCAAGCAACCTTCCAATTATTCAGACTAAAAAAAACTTAAAGCAAACCTAACCAAACTGTATTCAATTCTCAATAATCCAAATAATTCAATTCTCAATCTAAATCCAAATTAGAGTTATGGAAACGTACACAAGTTTCAATATCGTCTGTGTCCTGAGCTACATTGCCATTCTTTTAGAAGTTACAGTAGATCATCTTAAATTGTATACTTCCACTTTTTCACAACCGTAACTTTCTAAATATTAGATGACTCCTAATTTGAAGCTGTTCAATTTTAACTATGCTCAACTGAAATCATACAAGCAGTCTGTGTCATTTTTATAAAAATCATCTTACTACTGGAGACTTTGAACTTTGAGCCAATTTCAAATTAACAGGAGGATAGGGAGCCTTGTTTTTCCAATTACCACAGATTGCAGTTATGATTTGGAAGGCCTAGGTCTATTAACTTCCTTTGTATATCCCTCAGCTAATTTTGCATCCGATCTTCTAGACTTGACCAGCAGTAAAATCTCAGATGATACTAGGTTCTAAGAGAAAAAGATTGTTTATGCCCAATCCTACAAATACCCATTATCTCTTGATTTAGATAACCATAAATGCTGAACACCTTGATTACACCACCCCTCAACCTGATCATGGAGGAATTATATCCACATTAGATGAGAAAGCGGTTAAGATGCTATTCATAAGTAGGGTTTACTGAGTTTTAGGTTGATCAACTCCACAGCTCTATTTCCCGATAATTTACGTTAAGTCTGATACCCACTGAAATGAGTACCATGATTTTTATTTGCGAGAGACATTGTGATCTCATTGTTTCAGTGTTTGTGGTGAAATAGGTAGGGACTGTGAGGAATACTGCTTTCCACTGGAGATTTGGAGCAACACCAGGAACCCCAGAAGGAAATTTTAAATATACAGACTCCCAACATGTATGTTATCAGCTTATTCTGGTTCACTATGTTGATACTACTGGCTCCTGCCAATTCCTGCCCAACACAACCCCCAATAACTCCATTAACACATCAATAGGAAACAAACAACTGTATCACTGCACAGGGAGCCAGAAATGAGAAGGCTGATTCAACCTAGACAAATATAGGTGAAAATTTGCATAGATTGTCACCACAATGCCAAAAGAGAACTTTTATTCCTGCTTTGTGCAAGAATCAGTCAATAATCATTTGACAGCTATGCCTCAAGTCCTCACCCAACAGGTGACAAGCAGACTTGAGTTTTCATTGCATTCATATCTTTTAACTCACTATGCTGTCACTTTTGAGGCTCACCTTCACACGTAATCTTTTTCAGAGGCCCTTTCTGCGACCTTCTATCATCCAAAGCACTGCATTTCACTGCAGGTCTTCCTGCACACCCCTAACTTTTGTTCAGCAAGGCAAAAATGCTCATTAATAGCTGTCTTCTTGCTTTTATTTCAGGAGTGATTCACAGACACTTAGTATCACTCTCTCCATTGTGACTGCATGTACAAACAGGAAATCTTTTCAGATACCAATAGTCTTGCCATGAATATCCAGGGTTTTCTAGTACTTTTCAACTTCTTTTCTTCATTACTAGTCTAAACTCTACCTGAGGCATTGTCAGTTTAGAAAAATAGACAGTTCTTCAATTTTCCTCTGAATCCAGAGTTCAATTTTTGATTAAGCCAGACTATTGCTAAACACATTTAATTTTCTTCCACTTTGCAGACATGTTCATTCTGAGGTATTACTCGTATGTTCAACTCCCAAATTTTTAAATAGCAACAGCTCAGAGGTCTTGCTCTTAAAAGGTTTAAAAATTTTCACCAAATATACTGTTTTTAAGAGAAACATTTCTCTATTGCATCAATCTGTGAGTCAGATGGCCCCTGTGCACATTGTTTAGTCCTCAGGGCTCAAAGGAGCAGCTATGTCACTGCACAACTACTCCTTCATAGTGCAACTCATCATTCTCACATGCTCTCCAAAAAAAGTTGGATTTTTCTCAATTGAATAGATGCATACAAGACTAAACACTGTACAGGGTCTTAAAAGTTTAAAGTTCAGGACTACACTTCTGAATATTCAATTTCCATTAAATTTTAGAAAGGTTTATAGATGCAGTAAAGCCCACTATCAATGTAGTAACGTTGATACTTCTTTTAGATTCAGCTGTCAGCAATTTCCTGGTTCTTGGTTTCTTCCGTGTAACATCCATGTCAAAAAGAATGCTTTAGGTCCAATAACATTTTTTGCAATTTTTTTTTCCAAATTCACAAAAATCAACAATGCCAGTATTATAAATAAATGCCTTACATAGTAATACAATATTTCAAATGCATTAGAAACCATACCGTAATCATATTCCCAATGATACAGCTATAGAGTTTCAGGATTTCTCTTTTATTAAGTTTTTCATCAGCCATGTGTGTATTATAAATTAATCGAAGTTGCATGAAGGTTGCAATGAGAAACTGGTCAATGTGACCAGACATAGTATCTGCTTTGTCTTCTTGTCGCAAAACTTCATCAATCTGAAAGCCAAAAAAATTAATGTTGGAATTTGCACAAGAAAATCTAAATAAAGAAATCCTCATTCGACCAATAGGACTTAAAGAAAACAGAATCCTCAGTACAAGAGGCTGCCATTCAGCTAATCTTCCCTGCACCAGCTGTTCAAAACAGCAATCTGATTAGCTCCATTCCCCAACCTTTACCCCATCATTGTGCAAATTAGTCCTCTTCAAATACTCATACAACCAACTTTTATATCCAATTTAACAATTTCAGCTGTTATGCAGATCTCAACAGCTTGGAATAAGTTTACTTTTGCTCCCATTCTTTTGCCAATTATTTTATATCTACGACTCATTTGAAGTTTAGAAGAGTCAGAAGTGACTTAGTGGAAACATTTAAGATCCCATGGGGATGACTGGGTCGATGTGAAAAATATGGTTCCTCTTGTGGGGGATAACATTAGATAAGATATACATAAGAACTAGGAGCAGGAGTAGGCCATCCAGGCCTTGAGCCTGCCCCGCCATTTAATAAGATCATGGCTGATCTTTTTGAGACTCAGCTCCACTTACCCGCCTGCACACCATAAACCTTAATTCCTTTACTAAAAAATTTATCTAGCCTTGCCTTCAACACATTCCGCGAGGTAGCTTCAACCGCTTCACTGGGCGGGGAATTCCACAGATTCACAACCCTCTGGGCGAAGTCCCTCCTGACCTCAGTCCTACATCTGCTTCCCTTTATTTTGAGGCTATGCCCTCGAGTCCTAGTTTCACCTGCTAGTGGAAACAACCTCCCTGCCTCCACCTTATCTATTCCCTTCGTTATCTTATACGTTTCTATAAGATCTCCCCTCATTCTTCTGAATTCCAATGAGTATAATCCTAGCCTACTCAGTCTCTCCTCATAATCCAACCCTCTCAACTCGAATCAACCGAGTGAATCTCCTCTGCACCCCCTGCAGTGCTAGTATATCTCTTCTTAAGTAAGGAGACCAAAACTGCATACAGTACTCCAGATGTCGCCTCACCAGGACCCCATACAGCTGCAGCATAGCCTACCCGTTTTTAAACTCCATCCCTCTAGCAATGACAGACAAAATTCCATTTGCCTTTTTAATTACCTGCTGCACCTGCAATCCTACTTTTAATGATGGAAGCAACATGGAAACAAAATTGGTTGAATGAGAGGAAACAGAGTCATGGTCAATGGATATTTTTCAGGCTGAGAAGAAGGCTCGACAGTTGCCCAGGGGTCAGTATTGGGACCCTTGCTTTTCCTGGCATATATTTTTTTTCAGGTTTGGGTAAGTAACACTTGTGTCACCCAAATGCCAGAAAATGACCATCTCCAAAAAAAGCAAGTTTTGGCAAGGGGAAGGTAACTTTCTGTTCCCGCTTGTAAAAGAACCAAGAAAAAAAAAAGGGCACAGATTTAAAAAGTGATTTGCAAAAGCAGAAGTGAGGGAAAAAAAACTTCCCACCCAGTTAAGACATGGAATGCTGTGCTTGGAAGTGTGGTACTGGCAGATTCAATTGAGACATTCAAGGGACTCTGGATGATTATTTGGATAAAATAAAGTGCAAGGGTATGAGGAATAAAACAGGAGGAGATTAGCACTAGATAATGATGCTCAATGAGCCAGTGCAGGCATGATGAGTGTGACTTTGCCAGTGCAATTGATTTGTGCTTTTAAATGCTTACTTCATGGTTACCACTAAAACTAGCTTTATATTCTAGATTCATAAGCTCATTGCAAGTTCCACATGGCATTGGAACCCATCTCCTGGTCTCTGGATTACTAATCCAGTGGCATTGCCAAAATACCATCTTCTCATGGCGTGAGCTACCTTCTTGTGAAGAATTGTTCACAATGGTTAGGTTTGAAGTTCCAAGATTGTACCGCAAAAAAGGTGAAAAAAACACGAGCTGTTTCCAAGTCAGGATAATGTGCAACCTGGGAGAAACATCCAAGTGTTTGCATTTCCATCTGTCTGCCGCCCTCATTCTGCTAGCTGGTAGCAATTACAAATTTGGAAGGACAAGCTGTCAAAGAAGCTTAAGTTGTTGCAGCATATCTTGGACAACGCACACAGCTGAGACTAAATACTGGTGGTGGCAGAAGTGAATGTTTAAGTTGAGGAATGGAGTACCAATCTAGCAGGCTGCTTTCTGCTTGTCCTCGATGATATAGGTTCTCAAGTGTTACTGGAGCTGCGCTCATCCAGGCAAGTGGAGAGAATGCCATCTTAATTGGACTTGCACATGAACAGGCAGTGGGCAAGATAGAATTTGCAAGTTAAACAACAGAATTCCTGGCTCAGAGCCATGGTATTCATGCGGTTGGTATAGTAAAAGGAGGTGACCCTCTGTTTCCTCTCCCCATCACGTCCAAGGATGGTGGGGACTTAATACCATTGATTGTCAAGGGGAAGGTGGCAAAACTTTGCATTTTTGGAGATGGTAATTTTCCGACATTTCAATGACATGAATGATATTTAGTCCAACCTAAATAATGTTCAGATCTTGCTAACATATGTCTGTGAAAGAGTTGCAAATGCTGCCAAAATTACTAATGTTGAGTATCCTCAGTTCAGACCTTCTGATGGAGAAAAAGTCATTGACTAAGCAGTTACTAAGGTCACACACCGGGCACAGCACCAGGACAATGCTGCTTGTGTTTTTAAGACCACAGATGCTAAGCATTTAATCATCATCTACTTTTGCATTAGGCATGGCACTGACTAGCAAAGCTTCCTCATTCCTCAATTCCCATTGATTTTACCATTACTGCTTTTTGATGTCAAATGCTGCCTTGATATACTCCTGATAAGTTAGTCTACTTGGGTATCTGCAACAACTTTTCATTTGCCTCCTTGCAAAACTCAATCTCAAGTCCTTCCTAATGATCCTTACAATACAGTTCTTGGATATCCCTTTGCCTGAAGTGATTGGGATAGAGTTTAGTTCTACAGCATTCTGATATTCTCAGTCAGTTCCACAATATTACACTTTTCTTACATACAAAACTAAGACTTTTGTCTAGAAATTCACACTGCTATTTCTTTCTGGTTGAGCTGAGGCGGTTACATTCCTTCCTCCCCCGGTTGTAAATGCAGCCAATTTGTCTTCTGAACTGTTAAACCCAGATTGCTATTGATGATTAAAAGAAAACAAAATGGATCCTTTTATTATATCTTAAGCACTTGTCACCATTTGGTACCCAGCTTAACGTTACTTTCCTAACAGCATGACTTTTCCTTCAATTATCTCATGCCCACTTCCAAATACAATATTCTCGGACATTGCTTGGGTCTCAAAAACAAACGAGAAAACTGGGGTTCCATCATCACTAACACATCCCGCACTAGAAAATGGCCCCTGGTATTGATCGGCTATTCTGAACTTGCTAAGGTTCAGGTTTGTGCCTGATAACAGATGCCACAATTCTGAGTTATGATGCAAGATTTGAAGTTAGCTACTTTTCCGGTAAGAGAAAGGGTAAGAGCAATCAAGATTTCATATTCCAACTGTAAAAAATTCTGCCAAACAAGATGTCGATTAAAGGCAGTCTTTGCTTTATTTGTCTCATAGACCATTCCCACTACAATTTTAAAAATCCTATATATGGAGCTCTTTTAGAGTCAGACATCTACAGCAGAGAAAAAATGTCCTTCAATCCATTGAGTGTGCACTAGTCAAAAACAACTAAGTGTTCTAATCTAATTTTTCAGCACTTGGCTTATAGCCTTGTGTGTCTTGGCATCACAAGTGTTTCTTAACATCTTGCCCAAAAGCATGGACATTAATAAAGACAAAGCAGATGCACGTTACATATTCACACAATTACATAGCCAGCTCCACAGGAATCACACATATCCTACCTGTGCAAGAGCCTGGATGCTGGTATTAATATCACTACTTGCCACCTGCGACACAACAAAATTGATAGTAGAATCAGTGCTGCCATGTATCTCATCAAAGTGTGGTGAAACTGAACGATTTCTGAAAACATTCAAGGAAATAGGAGATGAAGCTTCAAAATTTAGATCAAAAAAAACTTTGATGGTGCATATCAATCTCAAAATAAGACCGCACAGTCTCAAGCGTGCTCAACATCCAGGACACTACTTGCAGCTGGCACTTTCACAAATTAAAAACTTGTTCTCAGTGGGTTTAGTGAGCAAGATGGGTGTAATTTTTCAATTACTTGCGTAAGGACAATAGTTATACCAATGCAATGCAGAGGCACCGGGGTGTCTACCTCTTCAGCTATTCATTTCTAAAGACTATTTGGTAGCATATGATGAAGGCTGCAAAGCTGCAGCATTGCGACAAAAGGAAAATCAAACAGCGCCTTCAGACAGTACAGCACTTCTAAAAGTTAGGCATTACTTCTGACAGCTTGGCTGCCAACATAAAGGCACCTACGCCTGCAGATCAAAACATTAATTCATCAATGGCATCAGTAGCTTGCAAGAATTGGTTTAAAAACTGTCCAGGATGGAATGACTGCATTCATGGAGCACTACATAAATTCAGTTTTAAAACTGAAAATAATTTAAATGTTAGGACCACTGCACTTCAATTTATACATTATCCATACACAATAGGAAATAGACTAATTTGATGATATATTCTAGGAAAAACATGTGCAGAGTGCACACTAATTTGCACTGCTCCATTTCAATTGCCAGTTAAGGGAAACAACGGATTAAACTTTGCACAAATTCTGGTTTCCACTTGGAAAGGAATCCAGGTTAAGAGTTTTGTTTTGAGATGAGCAAAGCAATAAAAACTTAAATGACCACTGTGAGTGTATCAAATATTAACAGACTAATCAACATATTCAGTTGCAAAGTACACTATACTCTAGCCTTCGTTCCAACAGTGATATGAGCATAAGGGATAGTCAGATCATTCAATCATCCCTACTAATCACTAATCAATTTATCCCTTTGACTTCTTCTTGCTCAGCAAGTTGTTCATTTTCTGAATGTCAACAATTTATTTAAACTCATGTTTAATGCATAATTTTGCCCCAAACTTAAATTTTTCCAAAATTTGCTCATCAGCACCTTGAGTCAAAAAAATATTAAAATGTAACCTCTTATGTGAAAAGGTAAGAGGCTCAAGATTCTGATACTAAATCCCAGCTGGGACTTAAATCCCAGATTAATGTTCCAGTTTCGCCTTTCTCCATCTATTTGATTAGTAGTTCTTAAGAAGTAGCTGCTGATTAACTGGTGTACAGACCTCCAGTTAGAGCAGTGAAGTTGCAAATTAATTTGAACAGACGTAAATGTGATCTGACATATACTGGCAAGTACAACTGAAACATCAATCTTTTCAACTTTATAACGTCAATGAAATAGAGCAAAAAAAAAGAGTATAGTGACAGAGTACAGGTATCAATGAGTGCATCTTTTCCTTTCTAATTATTTTTAAATTGACAAAGGTAACTTACTTTGGTTCTGGAAGGCAAACTGGTTCATACAGGTCATCAAGTTTGTGTTGCACCAGATCTGGTAATTCACATCTGCCAGCATTGTTGTCATTTTCAATTTCATCAAGATCCAATTGGAACTCCCTTGGAATCGTGGGATTCGATTCAGATGAGGAGTGAGCATTGCTGGAGCGCGCTTGACTGCAATAAATAAATATTTTAATGCAAAAAAAAAAAAAACCAGTGCTAATAATCATTCAATACTTTTCGTTACAACAGGAAAATCCTCCAAAACCAGACGTGGGTACGTTTTAACAACTTAGTTCATTTTCTAATCCACCTTGCCTCGGTTCGTCCGAATCAAATGTTAACTCTTACAGAGCTTGGTTCAGCAGACTCATTTCTCTAGTACAATGATCATTATCTGGCATCTGGGTGGCACGAATGATATTGTACTCGTGCCTTTGGCTTATGTCAAATGGATGGAAAAAGCAATAGCAAAACCATGATCTATTTTTTCACATCTTGCTCTATAACATGGAAGGAAATTTCAGAACTTGGAGGATCTTGGTTAAGATTAGCCAGCTCAGCATAAACCAGCAGTAATCAAACCAGGGAACTGCAGGTTTACACAAATTAGTCATATATTCCCTTAACCGTCAATATGATACTAACCAAATACATGCCACCCTATTAAGAAATCCAAAGAGGGCATTGAAGGAATGATGTTGTTTTATAGACTGCTTAATGTTTTAAGAAAGTTTTCAAAGCAATAATTAAAATAGTCGAAGCAGCTTCAACCGATACCGTGCAATTAGTTCTGTTACTTGAATGAAGGATCACACCATACCAGACTCTACACTTGCTATTATTTCAGCCCTTGGAACTTGCATACATAGATTTTGAGAACAAATTCAAATTTATAATTATAATTTATACATACAAATAAGCTAGAGAATTTAAGAAGAGTCGTAACAGTGGCAAACACAAGTTATTATGCTGGTTCAATAACAGTGCACAGTCAACCTACAACCAAAGAACAAGTTTTACTTACATTCGATAGGTTCGATACATTATTCTTTCCAAGGAATTGCAGTGAAAGAAGTCAGAAGACAGATTTAGACAAAAAGCACAATTATAACAGACACGAAGCACAAAAAGAAAGTTAAGCAAAGGAAACTGCATTCTGTTCTTGGCACACTGATTTGCAGCATCTGCTTCACCGCAGTTAACAAAAGTAAAGTCCAATTTATTTAACATTCAGCAATTTGAAACTTTCCAAAAATCCAAACCGTCCATAAATATTTCAAGTCACATGTTGCAAACGTAATTCTAAACTGAAAGGCTTTGCCACCCCGCCCAACGCCACCCTGATAGAACCCAGGAGCATTTTAACAGGAGTGAAGCAGAAAGAACAAAAACTTTTTGCAGTTACATGCATCTCCTCTTCTTTGGAGGATGAGGAGTGTGACTATATGGCTATAAACCACTGGGCATTGAACATTTAACGGGTAAATGAATAGGATTGTTTTGCACTGGTGTTGGCTAGATTACATCTGTCTTGCTGAATGCAAATACCACACGCAAGATCAGTTTGTAGCCAAAACCGCTGAAGCTTCTCAAAGAGACTACAAGGAACTGAAATGTTAGCTTAATTGGTAACACTTGGGCTGAATCAGAATGCATTCAAATCCCATTGACCAGAAACACAAGACATTAAGTTAACAAACAATACAGAGAAAGAGTGCTGCAGTCTACCTGACATTAAACATCTGGCTAAACTCTGATCTTTCTTCATATTGTTTTGAGGGACAGAACTTGAGAACAATAACTTCGCTTCCTCTCCGTAAATGACAGCGTTCCCCAGTATTTTGCTTTTAGAAAGAAAAATGGCCCTAGTTCCTTTGGCACGTGCACTCCGACACAAGGTATGAGATGGGTTTTGGCTTTATTGGAGCAGTTTGCTTTACTTTGATCCACTATTGTACTAATCTCCCCTAACCTTAGGTGTAATCATCAGAATGCAATATATATTGCAAGCAGTTTGGAAAAATAGCTTTTATACCAAGGCATAACACAATGCACTCTGGCTATAAAGAATCAAACACCCTACTTGCATCCACAAAATTTGTTTTGGGTTTTGTCATTGCAGCCTTGGTTCAGACATTGTCAATACCTCTAGACCAAAGACAAGGAGACACTGACCTACTTTCACATCAAGGCAGCATCTGAATGCAACATTGCAAAGGTCCCTAAATCAAAACCAATTGTTGTCATGTGGAAAAACGTGGCATACAGGAAGGCGATTCAATTGGTAAGTGGCTAAATATCTCAACCCAGAACATTGCTGCAGGAGTTTCTCAAGGTCACATCCCAGGCCCAAATATCCACATGTATTACATCCATGACCTTCTGTCTAACATGCCAGAAATTGGATTGCTAATTATTGAACCCCTCTGTGCTTGTAAATTAACACCCCATTGTTAAAACTTGCCTTCCTCTTCAAAATCCTTTGACACGTTGCAATTTTCCAAATCCTTGCCCATCTTCCCTACAATTTCAATTTGAATGCCTCCAATCAAGCCTCTGCTGGTGCTGCTTCAGGATTGTAAAAGGCTCTCAAAGTTAGAAAAGACATTTTACTACTGCAATAAGATAGTTTACCTCATCCTTCAACCCATAACCAGCCTTAGCATATGACCATACGGTATTCCTTGAAAGCCTCTGCAGTTGGCTAGAACAGGTCTTGCCCGTTTTTAGTTTTATCTGCTAAACCATAGCCGGAGAAACACCTGTATTGGATTTCTTTCACACTTCCATGATATATGAAGTTCCTTCAGAATTTACAGCATCATTGGTCACGTACTTCTCAATGACATGCTGACCCTTGGAGATATCACTCAATAATACAGCCAGATTTCACTTGCACATCAACATTTAGAGTTCTTTCAATCTTTTCACATTCCCATATTGTCACACAGCTGGTGAGATATCCTATATTGGACCAGCAAGAATTTCTCCAATACTGGGAAGAATAAAGCCATTCTTTGGTTTCAACCACAAACACAAATCAAACTCTATAAATAGTTGTTTCCATCCAACTTCCTTCAGAAGTTAAACCATTCCTCTTGCAACCCTGATAGTGTCGGCAGATCACTTATCTACTCGATAACAAAATTGTCTTTCCATGGACCTCCATCAACAATGCCTGATTTCAATCCTACATTGATCACTGATGAACTTTCTGCCACACACTGGCTCAGTTAGAAAACATCTCAATTTTCAAATTGACCCCGCAGGCTCTCCCACCCCTACCTCAGATAAACTTGTCCCCGCTACATATATAAACATTAACGCTTACAATTCTGCCATCTTGTCCATTCTAACTTTAAAGTTTCCGTCACTGAATACCATTTATGCGACCTTAGCCCAGACCTCAAATTCTTGTTCCAATGCAGTCCTTTAAAATTGGAGGTGGTGGTGGTGGTGGTGGCGGTTGGGGGGGGGGTGGAAGAGTGTGCTCGCTTTATTTGAAGTTTACCACAAAAGCTTGAAGTGAACAGAAGCTGTTAATTGGCACAGATCAAGAAATCTATCTGCAGTTAGACCAACGGAGCGGTGGCATTAACCACCATGTGACTCAGGTGCAGGAAAAGCATCTGATAGGACTGGGCAGTATTTTATAATTTTTAAAGTAAGGTAGGTCATCAGTTTATATTTAGATTTCTTGTAGTTTTTCCTCTTTGACAGGAGGATAAATCAGGAGATGAAGGCATACTAAAAATTGGTTCATTAGTCAAGAGTGACTTTAATCTTTCTCTCCCCCCCCACCTGCTCCCCAACCCATCCCCCTGCATTTATGCGTAAATGCAGTGATAAAGTGTTCCATGTTTGACTTGGGGTTTTACATTTGTCTAGCATAATGTTCATTTGAATGATTTTCTTTGAATTAATGTCATTCCTATTCTCAAAGGAAATATTTAGGGTGATACTGAAAATGTAAAATGGAGAGGCTAACCAAACATGGCTCACTGACAGTTGTGGATTTAATTTCCCTTGGCTTAAAAAAAGTGGGAAACCTTGCTGATTAAAAATCCAGAACTGGGTTTGAAAACCAAGTTATTTGCATACCTAAAACATGCTAGGCAGAAATACAAAGACGGCAGATCTAAAAGATCTGGGAGCAGTACCACTATTCAGATTCACACCAGTTTCCAACCCTGATCCATGGCTGGGGTTGGCGAACACAGTGCAGAATAAGTGAAATAAAGGCACATTCTGTCCTCTGCAGGCAGCTGTACAACAAATGTCACACAGGGATCTGAAAGAAAGTACCATAATGACCATTGCTTTCACAGCCATTCCAAACCTTTACTGAATAGATACAGAAGAACAACAACATCAGACATAGCTGAATAAAAACCAAAAGAACAGCAGGTGCTGTAAATCAGGAACAAATGAAAAAGCTCGGCAGGTCTGGCAGCATTTGTGAAGAAAAATCATGGTTATCTTTTTGGGTGGCGATGTTTCCTCAGAACTCAAGAGTTCGGAGGGAGGGTCACCGGACCCGTAACATTAACCCCGATTTTTCTTTACAGGTGCTGTCAGACCTGCTGAGCTTTTCAAGCGACTTTTCTGTTTCTCATCAGCCAGAGTTGCTTCAGATCTCTAGATAAATGATCCACTTACAAGTCCTAAAGCAGGAGCTCTTCTGAATTCCAGTCCTACAAGCAACGAATGCAAGTTCTTCTCCTAACCTAGTTCTCAAGAATCATTCTGTCCATTTAACCAATCAGTGCCTTACATAGTCCAAATTATGATGCTATGCGCATAGAATCACAACAGGTTGAACTGCTACAGTATCCCAATATTCAGAAGGCAAACTGGCTTGGCCAATAAGATCAACAATTCCTTGAAGCAGATTGTTTGTTGAGAGCTTTTATTCCAGAAGTCAAGTATTCAGGGACTACTGTACTGTCCTGGCATTTATAACAGAATTTCAGATTATTCTAGATCTCTTCTGTACATTATTGTACCAGCTAAGATGCTTTATTACATTCAGAAAAAGGAAACTTGCATAGTTAATGCTCATTATTGATTAAGACAATCACTGCTCAAACCAGAGGGTTGATGTGGTAATCAAAAATAACAGCACAAATGGCACTAGAATTTAGTACCATAGCATGGAAAAATAGAAGTGAGTTGTCTATCTCTGAGCTCCAAACAAAGTCTCACTGACTAATGGTTAAATGTCTCTTTTGGGGTATAAAAATTAGGGCAAGAGAAGGATTTTAAAGGTGAAATCTAGCCAGAATTATGATTTATAATTCCTTTGAAGACAATACTTGAACAACCCAGCATTTCCAAGATGGTGGCAGAGTAGGGCGCTCCACCCAGAGCTCCTCTGCTCCGCCTGTTCTTTATTTATTTTTTATTTCTCTCTTTTTAGGAGTCCCAGGGCAGTGCAATTTACCTTGGTGCAGCTGAGCATTGGAGGCTTGGAGTGGAGCCTGATGCAGGTGGCATGACCACATGCTGAGCTACTGCTATTTGAAATTCTTTACCGGTCCGTAATGTCAACACTTTAAGGATCTTATTTCTACTTATTTTTTAGACACTGGAGTAATGCTATTACTTTTCCTTTTATTCCCCCCTTGTATCCAAGATTTGTACCTAGGTACTTGTCCCTAAGATTGGCTGCCTTCTAATGGCGCTTTGTGAAAACTTTTCACTGTACTCCTGTAGTGGAGTACATGTGACAATAAAGGATATTCTATTTTATTCAGTCTAATTCTGCCTAACTCTGCAGTGATTTCCACCTTCCACAGATAAAACTAACCTGCAACAGCCAATATTGTCATTTGAAATGAAGGTTAAGAAATGTCTCACACAGATCAGTGATGCAACTACAAAGAACGAACCAGGTCAACCATTCAACAAAATCATTCATCCATGAAGATCAACCAAGGGTCTAGTCGGACAATCCCAGGAGAATGATCAAAGTCCCTTTGACAATCTTTGCCTTGACTTAGAGCTCAAAAGGGAAGGGGAGTTTGGGATTAACTTAACCCAATTTCTCTTTTTTGTGCTGAAATGACTGCTTTAAAATATATTAGTGAAGATTACTCATTCACTAAACATTCCAACAATATCTTCACTCAGCACATGTCTAGTTTATAATCAATTTCCACAATGACCTGCAGCAATTCTGTGCACTGCTGCAACACTTTGGGCTGCTCCCCATATAGGAATAAAGTTTAATATTTTTTCAATTCATTCACACAACGTGGGCGTCATTGGCTAGGCCAGCATTTACCGCCCATTCCTAATTGCCCAGAGAGCAGCTAAGAGTCAACCACATTGCTGTAGGTCTGGAGTCACATAGGCCAGACCAGGTAAGCACAGCAGTTTCCTTCCCTGAAAGGACATTAGTGAACCAAATAAATTTTTATGATAATTGACAATAGATTTCGCAGTCATCTTGAGACCATTAATTCCAGAATTTTTAATGGAATTCAAATTCCACCATCTGCCATAGTGGGATTTGAACCCGGGTCTCCAGAGCATTACCTGGATTTCTGGATTAACAGTCCAATGATAAAACCACTAGGCTCTCCACTTAATGTCACTGTGAATTAAGCCATTGCTCAAAAAAAAATTTATTATCAAAACATATGCTGCAAACTATCCGTCAATTGATCAAGCATTTACAGGTTATTTTAAACAATTCACAAGATTAAAAGTTGGTTTTGAAACAGAGTTAGCACAAAAACAATATCTTGTCTGGGACCATATTAAGATTGAAACTTTAGCCCTAAACTTATCTAAGTATAAAACATCAATAAGCAAGTGTTTTGTTTCTTCTGTTTCAATTTTCCACAAAATTTACAGGAAAATAAATCGATTTCATTGCGAGAAAAATTATGATTTTTCTTTCTGGTGATATAAATTGTAATGTTCTCACAGTTAAAAACTCCATTGACACTTAACCTAGGCTCCAGGTAAAAGGAAAACATGGGTACACACCACATCCCAGAAAGAAGAATGTCTTTAGAAAAGGGGAGAAAGAAGCAGAAGTCATTCTACTTCAGCGGAGATGCAGCGTAACTGGACAATACTATTCAAATTATGATTCTGGAAATGGTGAATGTTGCCATCACCTTGGATAAAGAGCACCTGGGTTTAACTCAGAAGCACTTGCCTTCCTCCAACAATATGTTTTGTTATCTGACCGAGAGCTTAAAACATAATAGCTATACACAACCATGGATGCTGGTATTCTTGGATTAATGAAATTTGGATATCCTTAAAACTCAGAAGAACCATGTAAGCAAAAGAGCTGTGCCAAAATTTGCTCAGTCTACATACAGCTTCATAATTCACTTGGCAGGCAGATGTTTCAACACAAAAACAGCAAATCAATTGGAACCAACACAAAGCAGGCTTCTATGGGCTAAAAGCTGTAAAGCCAATACCAAAACAAGGTACAATTCACTGAGTGCAAGAAGGTTTTTTTATACATTTTTCAAACAAATCAATGCCATTAATGCGAGGAAGGAAGCTCAGCAATTCTGATACACGAACTGCACGACGGGAGCACCTACACGCATGGATTGCAGTTCAAGGTGGTGGTTCATTTAGAGAGTAACTAGGGACAGTCAGTCAATGAATGCTGACCTAGCCAGTGGTGTTCACAGAATGTGAACAAGAAATGGAAAATAAAATTGTTGGAATATGTTTCCACTCATTGAAAGGACTAGAACTTGGGGATGTTTACAAAATATGGGTTCTCTGGTTTAAAACAGAGGAGGAAATATTCTGAAGTTGGTTTATGGAACTTTCTTCCCAGGAGCAGAGGAGGCTGGGTCACTGGATATTGTTAAGGCCGAGTTGGACAGAATCTTGACTGACGAAAGGAGTCAAAGCAAATAAGTGTAAACAGGAAAGTAGAAGCTACAATTAGATCAACCATGATCCTGTTATAAGGAATTTAGATGTTTGTGCACATATATAAAACAGACCACAACCAAAAGAATGACCAGGTCCATCCAAAAACCTGCACACAATTCAATTCCGCCAGATCACCAAGGATAAAAGCAAAAGTCGCCTTTTCTTGATGTTTTTACAGTGTGATTTTCTTCCCCTCTCTACCTTATAAAAACACGAAACCAAACTAGTCATAAGCTTGTGTGTTTTGTTTCTGAGTGACTTTCTAATCTTCCAAGCTTTGCCATGACACATGACCATTGATTACCTTCTCTAATGTGAAATCTTCATACAGACACTACAGTTCAATCATTTTGATACATCAGCAAAACAGTGGATGCTGATGCTGTAAATCCAAAATAAGAAAGAAAATGCTCAACAGGTCTGGCCACATCTGTGGAGCAAAGTTAACATTTCAGGTTGCTAACCTTTCAACAGAACATGGAAAGCTAAGAGATGTAGGGTTTTCTTTGTGGAAGGAGGGGAAGTGGGTACCGGTTGTGGTAGAACAGCAAGAGTAGGAGGAAGGACAAAAAGGAAGCCTGCAATGGGTTGGAAGTTAGGAGAAATTATCTAAGATAACCATGAGTGCAAAGAAAAAGGGGAGCAACAGTCAGTTCAAGTAGCAGTTCCCAGCTATAACAAAAGGTGAGCAGCATTAGATGTTACTAAAAATGAAGTGCTGGAGAAACTCAGCAAGTTTGGTAGCATCTGTGGAGGCAGAGATTGTGGTAACATTTGCTGTGCTGTCAGACCAGCTGAGTTTCTCTAGAACTTTGGCTGTTATTTCAGATCTCCAGCTTCCAGAACATTTTGCTTTTAATTTAGAACCTTAGAAATCAAATATTTCTCTCCCCAATGAAGCTACTAGTTCTGCTATTTCCAGCATATTGATTTTCCAATGGTTGCCTGGCTCCCCAAACATTTTTTGCAGATCAATTTGATCTTCTACTGGTTAATAAAGCTTAACCCTCCTGCTCAATTTACAGGCTGTGCCCAATGGTGGAATTCATTCCCTCATTTTTTTGTACCTCAGCATTCCTCAGAGACACTTAAGCATTCCTTGAATTAATTACTTTGATAAGAGAGTATAAAGTCACAGTCAAACTCACCAAAGACAAACTTGGTGATATTACAAGCAGTGCAATTGGAGATGTAATGTCACAAGAGAAAAAGGATGACTTCACGAGGGATTAAGGGAAACAGAAAACAGTGGATTAGAGACGCACAGTCTCTACTAGCTTGGGAGTCCAAGATTAGAGGGCATGGCCAACAGTTAAAGTTAAACCATTGCAAAGCGAAATTAGGAACTATTACTTCACGGAAAGCAGAGATGTTTAGATGGACTCATCCAAAAACAAAAGTTTATTTTTAATCTGGTAATTGAAGCTTGTTGGCAGCCAAAGATATCAAAAGACATGAGGAAGAGATAGATAAGTACAAGCAAATTAAGTATGATCTCATTGAAAAGCAAAACAAGCTTGAGGTCAAATGTGCATAATTGCAAATATTGATATTTAGACCAAACAGTAGCCAGTATAAACATACTTCAATTTGGATGGCATTTCCTCACAGCCCTTGCGTGGTACAGTTGCGTTTTGATTTAGTCCTTGTGTCCTCGAAGCTTTCTCCTCTACTTGCTTGGTTGATACAGTTGATGATTTCTTAGCAGATCGTTTGATTCTTTCCTCTAACATGCTCATCTCTTTCTCAGAAAGCTAAGATTAAAAAGTCCAAGAAAAGAACATCAGTCAATTCCGTAAACTTTCCCTTGACATGGTTTACCTAAAGTCTGCACATTATAGTATTTGTTTTATTTATAAATATAATAATTAGAATAGCATTGCAAAGGACTTGTAAAGGACCATTTATTTTTGGACTGTAAGCTTGATGTAGAGATGCTGGTATTGGACTGGGGTGGGCAAAGTCAGAAGTCACTTGACACCAGGCTATAGTCCAACAGGTTTATTTGAAATCACAAGCTTTTTGAGCACTGGCACCTGATGAAACAGCAGCACTCCGTGAGCCTGTGGCTTCAAATAAACCTGGTGGACTATTGCCTGGTGTCATGCGACGTCTGACTAAGCTGGAATGGAATACTAGGAGAGCTTTGCAACTAAAAAAAAAATTGAAGTACATTTGCAGCTGCACAAGACCACGTTGCTTTTGGAGTGATGAAATAGTTATATTAAGTCAAGTCAAAGCAACATCACAAGTTTGAGTCAAGGAAAAACCTGTCTGACAACAGCCCTTATCTGTAGCAAGCTGTGGCTAAGTGGGAGCAGTGCAGCCAGAAACATCTGGAGATGGCAAGCAGAAAACACCATCATTCCTTCCTTCAATGAGTGAAAAGATATAAAAACAAACTTGAAAGAAAGAATTCCAATACAAACAAAGGCCTCCACCTGATTACCTATCAAACAGGAAGAACCATTACTCTACAGTGTTGCCATCATTATGTGATTTAAAAAACTGGGAATTAATTTTGAGAGGTGGGCTTTTGATCTTCAGAAGTGTTTTGTCTGCCTAACCCCAATATTTGATAAAAGGGAAGTGGAGATAAAAAAGGAAATTATAGGCCAGTGAATCAGACATCAGTAGTGGAGAAGATGCTAGTGTCCATTCTCAAGGATTTCATAGCACAGTACACAGAAAACAGTGGCAGAAACAGAATCAGCATGGATTTATAAAAAGGAAATCATACTACAATGCTTCAAGGATGTAACTAGAGAATTGATTGGGGAGCCAACGGATGTGGTTTACTTAGAGAAGGCTTTCAAAAAAGTCCCACAAGAGATTATGGTGTAATATCAAAGTACACAAGATTGGGGACAGTCGATTGAAATGGATAGAAAATTAGTTAGCAGACACAAAATAAAGAATAGGAATAAATGGATCTTTCTGAATGGCAGGCAGCAACTGATGGGGCTCTGCAGAGAATGTAACTAGGATCCCAGCTAGTCACAACAAATGTCGAGGATTTAGATGAGGGAATGGAACGCAATATCTTAAAATGTGCTAGGTGGAAGGGGCAGCTGTGAGGACAATGCAGAGATGTTTGGATGTGTGATTTGGACAGGCTGAGAGTGTGTGCAAATGCATGGCAGATACAGCATAATGTGGATGAATGGGAGGTGCAGATTGTTTAAATGGTTCTCTATTGAGAAGAACTAATGTTCAGTGATACCTGCGTGTCCTCGTGCACCAGCTACTGAAAGTAAGCAAGCAGCAGACAGTGAGGGCAGGTAAACTCTACGCTGGCCTTCAAAGTGAAAAGATTTGAGTACAAGAATAAGGATGTTTTGCTGCAATTATAGAGGTATTGGGGAGGCCACACCTAGATTAGTACGAGCAGTTTTAGGCCTCCTTACCAGAGGAAAGATATTCTTCCTACAGATGTAGTGCAACTTTTTGCTGGAGTTTAGAAAATGAGGGGGGAGTGGGGGGGGGGGGAAGGGAGGGGGGGAGGGTGCATCTCAATTACATTTTTACAGGACCAAGGTTAGATGCAGGAAAGACAAATGTTCTCAATGGTGGGGCAGTCATAGGGGTCGTAGCTCAAAGACTATGGAGGTACACATTTTAGGACTGAGGTGAGGAGAACTTTCTTCACCCTGTCAGTGGTTAGCCTGTGGAATTCCACAAAGTGATTGAGGCCAAAGCATTGTGCATTTCAAGAAGGAATAGATAATAGCTATTTTGGCTAAAGGAATCAAGAGTTATAGGGGCAAGGGAGTGTGGAGAAGAGAGAGATGGCAGGATTAGTATACTGTGCTCAATGATCAGCCATGATCATAATGAACGGTGGAGCAGGCTTGAAAGGACAAATGGCTTACTCCCACTCCTATCTTTTATATTTTTCCCACACATAATATTTGTATCAAACCATCTGTCTTTTGTTTGTCTTGCACACGAATGATTGTGTATTCTGGGTTTTAAGAAATATAGGTTCAGTTGGATAGCAGTAAATTACGAATACTTTTATTCTTCGGTAAAAGCAGGGGCAAAGTGGTTTTACAATAGAGTCTGTAATGTTGAAACAGTTTGAATTACTTTTGTCTTGAAAGCAGTCAGACAAATTGATCATCCTCCTGGTTTAATTGGGTAGTTAAGATAATTGAGGAACAGTGGGCCTTCATTATCAGCACACTCATCCCAGCTACATCATAATTGATTTAAATTCTTGGACTAGCAAACTGGAAATGTTGTCAACCAAAGTGATAGCTCAAAGCTGGACGATCACTACTCAAAGGCAAGACCAGAGGGAGTGAAACAAAATCTTTCTATACTCAAGGGACAAAGAGCCGAGAGAAAATTTGAGGATGTCTGTAACAGTTTAGTTAGTTCTGATGCTTTTCAAATCTATTTGGCCAACGTGCGACCATTTGAGGAGAACTGACACGGTGTAATAAAATTCAAAAGCAACTAAAGAAACACAAAAAGGTGGCTTCAATGCTCTCACTTTCATCCTTGGCTCCCCACAATTCCGAGTGTACTCTGATCCTCTTATTGTACAGAAAGGTGAAATCTTTGACATCTACTTAATATCTATTATAGATTTTCTAGTTTCTGTCTCCAAGGAACTCAATTTCTTCCTTCAACCAGACTCCTAAAGTAAATCAAGATAGATTAAATTTTCTCCTTCTCCCTCTTCTTGATCACCCCTTTCCTCATTTTAATGCTTTCCAATTCTCAAGGGTACTCCTTTTCTTAACAACATAGTCACTTTTAGTTTAGCCGTATCAACTTATTTTTGTTGTACGGGTATTTTTAATTTTTTGCAGTGTTTATATTTAGCATTATTGCTTCAAATTGTTGCCATCATTCATTTAGTCGCATTTTAACTAATTTCTTAAAGCGACCTCTATAGAATTGTCCTTCAAATCTCCAAAATAATCTTTAAATTTAAGGCATTAGATTTGGACCTAATCATTTCATTTCCAAACATATTTTATGGCATTGATGCGATTATGATGCACTTTCCAAGAAATTCTCAACTACACTATTACTAATTAAACATGCCTCATTATTAACAAGAACTAAAATATAGTTTCTTCCCTACTTGGATCCTCAACTCATTATTCTGGAAAACTCTCGTTTCAAATGCATTCCATGAACTGCAATAAGAATTACATTTCAATTTGTTTTATCCCTTACCCATCAAAATACCTCCTAAAATTCTTTTAATTTTCCTTTCCTCTATCTACCTAAATTATGCCTGCCTACAATCTGTACACCAGTCTGTACACTATCCCCAATGCTTCAGCAATGGGGAGTTAACATCCTGATTTACAATGCCAAGATTCTATCTTTCCACTGTGTTCACCCATCTTTCAATAATCATGCCTAACCCAAATCTTCTATTTTGCCCAAGTTAAGCATCCTGGAATATTTAGAACCCAGCAATGGACACACAGCAAACATGACCACTATTAGAATTAATATGTTCACCTCTACTGTCCAGTTATTTGTCTGTCGTGTTACAAATATTTCACATAGAAATATAGTACTATTGATTTTAGATTACTTTCCCCAAATAGAAGATTAATAATTTGCATCTATGTAAGTCATTGAGATGTTTTACTGTGATAGGCGCTTTATAAGTAGACATTGTTAGTTTTGATGTGACGGTATTAACTTGATTGAACTCTGCCTATTCTTGATCAAACTGGTTTAACTTTATCCTAAAATACTACACCACTATACATCCTTGATTTTATTCTTCAGTTTTATGGTTCAATTTTTTTTTAAACCCATCATTATCAGTTTAATCTACCCCCTAATTATTTGATTCACTGGAAACAAGCAAGTTTGGAAATTTGTTGCAATGGAACGACTCCCTCATATCTCAATACTTGCACCAGTGCACCTTGAATCGAAAATCAATCTTGCAAATGACATTTTTCAGCCATAAATTTAAGCCTCTTCTTGACCATGTCAATTGCGCATGTCTCAGTTAGTAACATAGGATTGAAAGCTTTAAGGCTCTTCTCTAAATGAAACATTGAACAATTTACTTTCACCTTGTGTTTGCTACGTTCTTTGCTTAATGTATGTTGCTACTGGGAGAAGATTCTTTACCCAATTCCGTCACAAAATACTTACATTCCCAATCAATTTAAAAACTTGATCACCACAGATATTGTAGACAGTAACCACTGTGTTTAGGGCAGCGTTACGGACAGACGTATCTCGATCGCCAATCTGACTTGCAATTTCTTTCAGTGCTTTGGCTGGAGTTGGTTGGCAGACATTTAAGTCATAAACTTCAATTAAAGCACCCAGCTCTTCCAAGCATTCTGAAAAATTCCAACAGCAACAAGTTAGGTTCAAATGTCCCATGTTCACCGTAAATTACTGGCACACAGAGTTATATCACTGACCCTGTAAAGCTTCATCGTGCATCTTCTAAATAGCAGATAATACTTCCATCGTGCAACAGGGAGGAGGAAGTGAATGCTAAAAAAGTGATTGGTGTGCCAATTAAAAACAAAGACTGAATGGTGTTAAGCATTGTTGTAGCTACATGCATTCCATGACACTCCTGAATTGGGTGTTGTAGATGGTGGATAAATTAAGTAATGCAGAACACACAGTCTGTGACCAGTCATAGTCAGAGAACGAAAACAGACCCTTTGGTGCAATGAGCCCATTCTTTGGGAACATCTTATAAGGAGACAGAATTTTGCCTCTTAATGCTCTATAGGGTGCTCACTCTGCTAATATTATAATGTACAGATGCAACTGCAACAGATGGATTGATGAGCACGAGGTCAAGTAGGCTTTTCCCCTCATGTTGGCTCTCAGAACATAGATGCAGTCAATGTAGGAGGTACCTTTTTCAGGCTTGACTAATGGGAAAGCTACTGAGCCTTGGCGCTGGTTATCAACCTTCACAAACCTTAAACCTCTCAGTTTAAAGCAGGGACAAATAAACAACAACAAAAAAAAATCTCTACAGCATATTGCACAGAAACTCACCCGCTCGCTGTTTCGAGTTTTTTGATTTCAGTCCTTCCATAACAAAACTGAACATTTTACTAGCTGGATAAACCTTGCACATCATGTTCATAATGGACCGAACATCTTTACGAATGACATCTTTTGGTTCTCCAACCTAAAATGGAGGAAAAATTCCACAGGCTACCATTCCATGTTGCTAAATTAAACAAATGCAGTGTATGCTCCATTACTGAATTAAATGTGGTGAATTTTCTCCACGAAATATCTAATTTCAAACACTTAGCTGCAGACTCTGGATAAACTGCCCATCTTTCTCCAATATGAAAAATTCCAACAGCAACAAGTTAGGTTCAAATGTCCCATGTTCACCATAATTTAAATTAAAGGTGGATGAGAGTAAAGCGGTTGATGTGGTGTATATGGATTTCAGTAAAGCGTTTGATAAGGTTCCCTATGGTAGGCTATTGCAAAAAATACAGAGGCATGGGATTGAGGGTCTTTTAGCTGTTTGGATCAGAAATTGGCTAGCTGTAAGAAGAGAGAGGGTGGTGGTGATTGATGGGAAATGTTCATCCTGGAGTTCAGTTACTAGTGGTGTACCTCAAGGATCTGTTTTGGGGCCACTGCTGTTTGTCATTTTTATAAATGACCTGGATGAGGGCGTAGAAGGATGGATTAGTAAATTTGCAGATGACACCAAAGTCGGCGGAGTTGTGGACAGTGCGGAAGGATGTTGCAGGTTACAGAGAGACATAGATAAGCTGCAGAGCTGGGCTGAGAGGTGGCAAATGGAGTTTAATGCGGAAAAGTGTGAGGTGATTCACTTTGGAAGGAGTAACAGGAATACAGAGTACTGGGCTAATGGTATGATTCTTGGTAGTGTGGATGAGCAGAGAGATCTCGGTGTCCATGTGCATAGATCACTGAAAGTTGCCACCCAGGTTGATAGCGTTGTTAGGTTTTATTGGTAGAGGGATTGAGTTTCGGAGCCATGAGGTCATGTTGCAGCTGTACAAAACTCTGTGGCAGCCGCACTTGGAGTATTGTGTACAGTTCTGGTCACCGCATTATAGGAAGGATGTGGAAGCATTGGAAAGGGTGCAGAGGAGATTTACCACGATGTTGCCCGGTATGGAAGGAAGGTCTTATGAGGAAAGGCTGAGGGACTTGAGGCTGTTTTCGTTAGAGAGAAGGTGGTTAAGGGGTGACTTAATAGAGACATACAAGATGATCAGAGGATTAGATAGGGTGGACAGTGGGAGCCTTTTTCCTCGGATGGTGATGGCTAGCACGAGGGGATATAGCTTTAAATTGAGGGGTGATAGATATAGGACAGATGTCAGAGGTAGGTTCTTTACTCAGAGTAGTAAGGACGTGGAATGCCCTGCCTGCAAAAGTAGTAGACTCGCCAACTTTTAAGGGCATTTAAATGGTCATTGGATAAACATATGGATGATAATGGAATAGTTTAGGTTAGATGGGCTTCTGATTGTTGCGCCGACTTGTGAAACCATCGAGGGCCGAAGAGTCTGTACTGCGCTGTAATGTTCTAGGTTCTATGTTAAATATGCGAAATATGAAGAGATGTTTCTTACCATGCTTAGAAAGGAGCAAAGTCATCATTGCCAATTTCTCTAGCAAAATCTTAGTTCCAGCAGATTCTGAAAGTTGTTTCAAGATCCATCTTCTCCCAATTCCATCTAGTGGTTGAATTTGTCCCCATCTTCTCCCCAGCCCCCCACCCCCCCCCCCCCAACATGCAGCACCATACAGTGCTTCATAGTAGCGCAGAAAAATAAAGCTACATTCAAGGCATGCCTTGAAATTAACTCCTTCCATGTTTGCGTACATTACTGTAGTATCCTCGAAAGGCATTTGTAACAATTATGACATTACGCCCATAGAACAAGAAACAGAACACCTTGGGATTTGAATTGTTCATCATACACTTCCTTGATTTTCAAGAACTAGAGTTTTCCTTTAAGATACTTGGAAACAGATTCATAATTTTTAAAAACTGGAGGATAACATACTTTTGTTCCCAAAACTATGGTTCTATCCAGACCACTGTAATTTTACCTTCACCATCTCATTCTGGATTTTGTGGCGATTTTAAAAATTACTATTTCCGTGACATCAGGTAAGGCCAGCACTTATTGCTGTCAGTTTGGGTCCAGCAAGGCACATTCTTCAACCACTATTTGTGTGACGGAATACACTTTGTCCAGTTAAGGAGGGAGCCCCAAAATTTCAGCTCAGCAAAGGAGAAAGAATAGCAATATATATTTCAAGTCAGCACAGTTTAAGACTTGAAGGGGAATTACCAGGTATTCTCATTCATCTGCTGCCCTTATCCTTTCAGCAGCAGAAGCTGAGGTTTTATTGAAGGAGACTTGATGAGCTCTTGTTGAACATATTTTAGGGAGTACACACTATCTTTGTGGAATGCTGGTTCCGAAGGAAATTTACAGTTGGAGGGTTAACACAGCGTGGAGCTGGAGGAATACAACAGACCAGGCAGCATCACAGGAGGAGGAAAGTTGATGTTTCGGGTTGGGACCCTTCTTCGGAAATGGAGGGTGGTGTGCATTGCTGTGGATGAGGACAGAATTTGCTCAGCACTGGGTTGTCAAGAGTGCTTTGCAGTTAGTGAGCAGGCTTTGGGGAAGACACAGTCACTCAACATCGAACACTTAAGTGTTTGACATAAGAACTAAGAACAGGATAAGGCAATACAGCCTCTCAAACCTGCTCCATTATTTAATATAATCATGGCTGATCTCATCTTGGCCTCAAATCAACTTTCTGCCTGCTCTCCATAACCCTTCAACTCACTACTAAAAAAAAAAAAACTGTAAAAACAAAAAATTTGTCAGTCCCCTTAACATCTTGTATGCCTCAATTAGAGCTCCTCATTCTTCTCTCATCTCTGGAATCAATCTAATGAACCTTCTCTGAACTGCCTCCAATCCTTCAAGGGGACCAAAATTACATACAATAGTCCAGGTATAGTCTTAACAACACTTCACTACTTTTACACTCTATTCCTTTAGCAATAAATGTCAACATTCCATTTGTCTTATTATCTGCTGTACCTGCATACTAGCTTCACACAGGATATCCAGATCCTTCTGCACCAAAGCACACAAGTCTCTCTCCATTTAGATTGTAAGTTGCCTTTTTAGAACACTGACCGAAGTGGATAATTTCTCACTTATCCAGATCTCACGTCATCTGCCCAATTTTGGCCCATTCACCTCGACTATCCATATCTATTGTACATTTATGTCTTCTTTGCAAGGTACCTTTCCACTATTTTTGTGGCATCTATGGCTACACTACCTTCTATTCTTGCACACAAGTGACTAATATGGATCGCAAGTAAACACCAACCGCTGTGGCATCCATTAGTAACATCTTGCCAAATAGAAGACGACCCATTTATTCTGACTCTGCTTTGTTGGTTAGCCAATCCCTTATAAAAAAGCTAAAATTAACCTTAATCCCAAATGATCTTGTGTTGTGTATTCCGCTTATGTGGCATATTATCAAACAGCTTCTAAAATTCTAGATATATTGTATCATCTGGATCCCTATCATCCACCTTGCTTGGTACATCTTCAAAGAAAATTAGTCAAACACTATTTATTCTTCATAAAACCATGGAGACAAGTGGAGTGTTTTCACTTTCCAGATGTCCTGTTATTATTTCCTTAATAATGGATTCTAATAATTTCCCAATGACACATGTTGTTGAAGTCAGTTAGTGGCTAGCCCAGCTATATTTTCTAGTCAATGGTATTGCTTAGATACTGTTGTTGGGTAAGCAATTGAATGTCTAGGAGAGGTGGCTAGACACATTTCCTCAGAGATAAATCAGTGCCGGATACTTGAACAGCACGCAGATTATTTGGCAGTTAACAGCTCAAGCTTAGATGTTCTTCTCTTGCTACAAGAGTATCATTTAATAATATCAGCACCTTACTCTATATTGCTGCTTAAACTTGTTAGAGTGCCATTTTCATCGCAAGGTTTATCCATTTAAAAACCACACAGCAATTTACCTTGTTAATCAAATAGGGGAGGAATGAAGATGCTTCATTATCAGTTAAATGATAATCTTCTTTGCTCAGCACTGTAAATATTAGTTTCAAGTATTCCAGGACTTTCATCAGTACGCTTGTGTTGGTGTCAAAAAACCGTAGAGTCAACCACTTCAGAATAAGATCTAGGCAAGCAACAGTCCCCTCTGTTTCACTTTCCAAATGCTAAGAGAAAATAAAGTTAAATTTTAAATCAAATATTTATTGTTCGAAGATCTAGCTTCCTCGAAAAACAAACATGCACATTTGAATCACAATCCCCAAAGTGTTTTCTTCTGCAATCAAGTAACTTCTTGCCTCCTGAAACCCTGTTACCATTCAGCTTTCTGCAAATAATTCTTTGAATATTTTTCATGAAGCAAGTTGGGTCAATAGTCAACAACAAATTTTAAAAGCACTACTGAAAAACTGAGTCTGAATCTACCATAAATGCAAGTAAGGCTAATGGCACTCTTTATGCAAGAACAGCAGTAAGGACAGATGGGAGCAGGTGCACAGCCGAGTGAGAAACTGTAGGAGATGCAAAAATGGCAACGCCATATGATTTCCCATTTATGCAGACCAGTGATTTGAATGTCTTGTTAGTAAACCCTACTTCCGATTTCATCTGAAAGGAGTTTTCTCTGGGTTGATTTCAAAAGTGGAACCGACAATCAGGGTTTGGGGAACACTCTTTGGTCTACCTCAGGAAAGGACAGGAATTAAAAGGAAAGAGTGGTAATCAAAATATTTTGCTATGTCGAGCTTTATAGGGGAAAAGCAAATCAACCAACTTAAAATCTGTCCCATTCCACTCTTACTTGGTACATTACGTATCATGAAGTTAAAGTAAGTATTCTGTGTTTACTGGCAATGCCCTCACTCTTTTTTCCAATAAAAAGAAAAAAGGGAGAGTTATGTACATCAACTTTGAATTCTAACGTATACTTGCGAGTCCAGACTTTGTATCGTGTGCTAACCAGTCTGACTGAAGGTTTGTTACCTGGAGTTCACTCCTTAACCAAATGAAAATTTCTGACATTGTTGAATGAATTAAACGTAAGGTAATTTGTAGTGCAATGATACAATCCCACAGTTTCCCATCAAGTGAAATTGGTGTTGCAAATTACTCAGCATCAAGGGTCAGAAAATACAAACCGCATCCAGGGCAAGTAATTAATGACGGAGGATTTAAAAAATAATGGCTACTCAATTAGCATAGCTACATGCGTTTGGTTCAAAATGATCAAGTCGACTCTGACCTTAAATATAAAGGGAGAAAAATAAAACGTAGCTGAAATCTTTTTTTAGAACCAGCACACACCTGGTTATTCTGATATATCAACTACCACTCTTATTAGTCAAAAACTCCCAGCTCTCCAAACTGTTTCCACAAATAGACATAAACAAAGCTTTCGGAATAAGTCCAGGAAAATTCTAAAAATACACACTACATAGCTATTTCCTGCTTTGTGCAGAGCATTAAAGATTTGCTTACAGATTCATGGATGCTAAATGTATACCTAAGGAGTTAAAAAGTGGTAATGTGCAAAAGGACCATTCCTAAAAGAAAAACAATAGATTCTGGAAAGTTCCTTTAAGCACCTCCACACACTGATCAATCTGAAAAGGAGCATGGTGATCTAAAAGTGACAGAAACTAGTTCAGGCTGTTATTAGATGAGACTATATCTATAGTTTGCTCAGGGCTCACATTTAAAAAGACTATGGGTACAAAAGTAATATTACAGTACAAGAACGTTTCATCCTTAGCATTTTACATTAGCAGATTCTTCATGTCAAAAACAGACAGCAGCAATTTCAGGAAAAATGTATATTTAAAAACCTAAAACAAAAGCCCGGAGATGTTCCCTTTTAGCATGTAATCTAGGCACAACTGAATGAGTATTATTGGTTTAAATCTTAAATTTAGACAAAGACCAAAAAACAGTTTGAACTTTAACATTAAAATCAGATTTGTTCATACATACCATTTAAAAAAAATAAACTGGAAAAGTGGATAACACCTTACATATAAGCAGATCACCAATTCCAAATCCATCCCACGCCATAAAAACAGTGATATAATTGTGTAACAGACCTACAAAATGGAGTTTTCCCCTTTAAAAATTTACCTCCAGCAGAGTTGATAAAGCTTTAATGTGATGATGAAAATCAGGATGAAACATTTCATCTTGCAACCATTTGGCTACACAGCTAGACATCTGGGTTTTTAGTTGCTCCGTATATTCATCTCGTGGAGTGGTGAAGTTCCATTTCAACACCTGCATGCAAACACAAGCAACATTTCCAGCTATGCAAGTTCTCATTAACCAAGAGGAATTTAATAAAAGTCATGGAAAAGAATATTTTTAAAAAACAGCCTCTATTTGAGGAAGGAAAAAAGCAGGAAACTACTGGCCAGTTGGCTTAGGAGCCGTTTCTCTATGAGGTAGGCTGCAGGGGAGCAGAGAGAAGAGAGAAGGGATGCTGAAATCTATCAAAGAGGTTATCGAAGGACCTTTACAAAACCATGTAATCAGGTAGAGAAATATCATCATCCTTTCACAAAACCCATGGACTCTATTACAGTTCTTTGAAGAATTTTTTTAAAAAGGCAACTGGGATACAAGGGAAACCTATGGATGTGCTGTTATTTCATTACCAGAAGCTATTTGACAAGATGCCATAAAAGTTCACTACACAAGGCAAGAACTCATGATGCTGGGTGGTACATACACATCGGACAACTGATTAGCCATCAGGAGGCAGGCAGGAGACAAATGGTAATTTTCAGATTGGTAAAACAGAACAAGTGGAATCCAGAGATTGTGACTGATTTAACTGTAAAATTGTTGAGACACAATCACTTTCACGAAGGGATCAAACATATGTGGCTATGGTTGTTAATAAAAAAGTTAGGTAAGAAAATGAATTGTGAAGGAATTGGAAGGGCCATAGATAGGTTGAGGATGTGGGCATAAACTTGACAGATGGAGCAGAATGTGGGAAAATACAAAACTTGTCCTCTTTGGCAGGTAGACTTTTTCATCCCCACCTCCCTCTCCCCCCAAAAGAAGAGAGAGATTGCAAAACTCAGAAGTATCTAACTGTCCTGCTACATGAATCTAAAATTAATATGCAGATGCAGCAATTGATTAGGAAGGCATTTATTGCCAAGGGAATGGATATCAAAATTTTGCTACATCTGTACTCAGCAGTGAAGTGACTACAGGGGAGGCACTATGCGCAATTTCTGTCTCCTTATTTAAGGAAGAATATAAGTGCATTAGAAGTAGCACAGAGGTTCACTTGGCTAATACCTGGGATGGTAGAGTTATCTTGAGGAATAATTGGATATATGGAGCCTTTACACTAGTTTAGAAAACAGAAGCAATCTTACTTAAACGAGATCCTAAAGGGCCTTGACAGGGATGGAATAATGTTTGCTCTTTTGGAAGACAGGAATAAGGGAAGGGGAGGTAATTACTTTTGGACTAAATGAGTCAGAGGTTTTTGAGGATTAGCAGGAATGTGGAGTCGGAGGTACAATCAGCTAGCCATGACCTTATTGAATGGTACAGCAGGCTAGGGGATCTGAATGTCCTACACCAGCTTTTAAATTTATATGCTTACACAATGTTCTACAGAGCCGATTTCATTCAGAAAAGCAAAGTAATTGCTAAAGTATACAGTATGGTTTCCTAAAAAGGTTATTTTAAATTCAAAGGTTGACACAGTGCAAAGTCTCACCTTTAAAGCTCTTTCATCCTTTACTCTTTGTTCTTTTGCATTGGGAATAATTATGAAGATTGGTCCTGACTTATCGTCATCATCCTTAAGATTTTGTTTACTTGGCACTTTCTTACTTATTCCAGGCTGGAAAAGATTCATTCATAATAAAACTATGACATCGACTGATTATATGCAAACAGTTTGAACAAAAAAGTGCAAGACAGTACTGAAAATAAGACTGGTGTTTAAAGCTATAGATTTTAGGTTTTTTTAAGTGGGGGAAAAGAAAGTGTTCCCCCAACAGTGAGTAAAGAAAGAAAATGGAATACTCAAGTACCAAATAAGAGAACAATGCACATTAATACAACTTGAAAATACTAAATTTGTCACAACATACCAATTTATCATATAGATAAATGGACAAGTTTGTCTTTATCCAAAAAGAGAATAATAAAGCCAGATTCACAATCATCAAATGTTGGGGAACATGGTACAGAGTTCTAAATGTAAGAGCATAATCACTGAGTCTTCATTTACTGAAATTCAACTTCCAACTATGATTTGGATTTGGAGGAAAAAAAAAGCTTCTGCTCCCCTATCACTACACTCACCAGCAGCAGGTAAGATTTGGAAGTGGATTCAGGCTCAGTAATTCAAATCATGTGAAGAAATACAAGGATCACTGCCACATTACATGGAAGAAGCTGAAGTTTGATCTTGAAACCAAGTGGGATGTGGAACTAGAAAATGTAATGGCAGGAAAATTGAACTATTTAAAACCTCAAACTTCAGTTGTAACAGAATAATAGTGGAATTAAATCATTTACAGGAAAGAATCAGATACCAGTTCGCTGGATATACACATTTTATGGTAAAGGAACGGAGCTGTTGAAGCTGCACAAAGACAACCATATAAATGCAAGAGTAGAAGTAGGCCATTCAGCCCATCAAGTCTGCTCCACCAAATGAGATCCTTGCTGATCTGATGATTCTCAAATCCAATTCCTACTTTTTCCTCATTACCCTGGATTCCCTTACCAATTCAAAATCTATCATAGTCAGCCCTGAAGACAATTAGTGACTGCGCCTTAACAATGTTCTGTAGTAAAGAATTCCATAATTCACTAAGCTCAGAAAAGATTCCTCCTCACCGTCTGAGGTGTGCGACCCCTTATTCTGAAATTATGCCCTCTGGCCCTAGATTTTCCCACAAGGGAAACAATCCACACCTGTCTAATACCTGAAAAATTCTATATATTTCAATGAGGTCACCTTTCATTATTGTATTTCTACAAATACAGGTCCCATTTCACTTAACCTCTCCTTAGAAGGCAATCCCTCCGTACCTGGTATTAGCCAAGAGAACCTTCTCCAGACTGCGTTTAAGGCCAGTATATCTTTACATAGATAATGATCCCAAACTGTTCAGTTGTCTGATAGTGCCTTGCATATATTTAGCAGAACCTCTCAACACTGATACTCCATTCATCTTCCGTACTACCTGAACATGGATACTAGCTTTGTGGATTCATGGGCAAGGGCTCCCAAATCCACACGTCTTGTGGATTCGTGCAGTCTTCCTCCAATTAAAATATTCATCCTCTCTATTCGTCCCGCTAAAGTGCGAAACGCACCTTTTCCCACATTATTTTCCATCTACCAAGCATTTGTGCATTCGCTTAACCAGTCTATAGATAAAACTGCCACAGTCCAGAGGAACTTAGGTTAAACTCTCAAGCAGCTGCATCTAAGGGTTGCTGTGCCTCAGGAGCAAGGAGAGATTGAGAAGGCGGGATCTTTATGGAAACCTCAGCTGGCGCAGGAATTGAGCTATTGGTGTCACTGGATCACAAGCCACATGGTCAAGCCAACCGAGCTAACCTATCTACATCCCTCTGCAGATCAGGCATATCATCCTCACCACTTATCTGCCTGCCCATTTTTGTGCAAAGTTGACTGTAGTACATTCACTTTCCCATGCATAACATTAACACATATTTATACATAACTGTGGCCCCCAGCACTGATCCCTGTGGCACACTGCTAGTTACTGGCTTCCACCCTGACAATATCCCTCTGTCCCAACCTTGTCTTTTATGCACCAGGTAATCCTCTACTCATGCTAATATACTACCGCCACCAATAAGTGCTGTCATCATATTAAGTAGCCTAATCTATGGCACCTTATTCACCTGAAAATCCAAGTATATTACCTTTACTGCTTGCTTTTTATCTATCCTATTTGTTATCTCCTCAAAGAATTCTGGTAAGTTTGTCAGGCATGATTTCCCCTTCGTGACTTCCCCCAAGCTGACTTGATTTAATCACATTACTGTTCTTCCAAGTGCCCTATAACATCTTCTATAATACACTCAAATTTTCCCAATAAACAGGCATTAAGGTAACTAGCCTTATAGTTATCCGTATTTTGTCTCCTTCCTGTTTTAAGTAAAAGGGTGCTAACATTTCCAATCCTTAGACTTTTTCAAAATCAAAGGATTCCTGGAAGATTATCACCAATGCATTCTCTGTATGACTACCTCCCTCAAATATCCTAGGATGCATCTCATCAGGTCAACGGGGAGTTATTGGTCTTTAGCCCAATTAGTTTTCCTCTTGTGACAGTTCACATTTAATTCCGCTTTCTTCTACTCTTGAATATTTAGCAATTTTAAAATGCTATTACTGTCTTCTACAGTGAAAACTGATGGAAAGCTTTTATTCAACTGCCCTGTCATTTGCTACTTCTCTCAGCCCCATGCTCTAAAGGGCCTATGATCACTTGGGCTTTTCAATTCCTTTTTATATACTTAAAGCAGCTCTTGCCGACCACTGTGATGTTACTTGACATTACTTGAGCCTCAAAGTTTGCTCTCTCCCTCTAATTTTTTCAGTCCTTGTTTGCTTTCAAAATTTGTCGAATCCTCTTACATACCACTCACTCATCTTTGCCACAGTATTTTTTTTTGTCAATTTGATATTGTCCTTAAAATTTCCCTGCTTGACCATGGTGGACTCATCCCTTCCTAGAGTCCTGCTTCCTGACTTAAATGTCTGAGGCATGAACAATTTTTTTAAATGTCTGCCATTATTCCTCAACCATCTTTGCAATTAAATTTTCTCAGTCCCCACCAGCCAGCTCTGCCCTCACTTATTTGTAAATAACCTTGCATATCATCAGATCCAAAATAACCTGAAACCTAGTTAGATCCACAACATATTGTTCTGGGAAACTATCCCAAATAGTCTGAATTATTCCTTATGGCTTCCTCTGCCAATGCGACTATGCCAATCTACAATGAGCATTGAAGTCACACATGATAAAAGTACTGCCTTTGTTACACAGCCCCTTATCTTCTGATTTATTCTGTCACCTATAGCTTTTTTTAGGCGGCCTACCAGTATCTTGTTCCCTCTTTTTATTTTCACTAATTTTCCACTACACCTTCCAATTAAAGATAATTACTCACTACAGTCCTCATTCTCTCATACCAACAATGCTACCACAATACCCTTTCCTCCCTGTCTATCCTTTCCAAAGCCACATACACAGCTCAACAGAAAGAAAAGTAACTGCGGGAAAAAATGGTTTATTTTAGATTTATTCAAAATGGAGTCAAATTCCAGATGCCATTTTGGTTTGATTATTTCAGAAATTTATTTTAACAGGCAATGGAATTAAATACCTAGTCTCATCCGAGAATAGATCGAAGACTGAAGAATGAAGATCCAAGTACTTGACATGCAGCAATTAGGAATCCTTCTCCCATCACCAGAAATAAATTTGTAGTATCCACGCTGCAGTCATTTCCTTATCCAGTTCAACTTTAAATTATGTATTGCTGATGCTTTAAAGTTTAATTAATAGCTTTGCATAGAATCAAAATCAAATGCCTGTGTCAAAAATTCCAGTGAAGCTACAACAAGATGCATTCCATGGTGGAAGAAGCAACTCACCAACCAAACGTGTTACCCTCTGGAACAGGCAGAATGAGGTGATCAAGGGAGAACGTAGCTCAAGAGGAGAGCAGTGACAAGAGGAAAAGAGATCAGAGGAAAGTCAACTGGATACCAATGAATTAAAAACAAATTTACAAATGTAATATTTACCTTGATTTTGGCAGTAGATCCACTTTTATTCTTTTTAGGATCATTTTTAAGTGCAACAGCATCTGTATCATCATTCATGGTGGCACTCTGTGCACGCACGGAGACTGATTAAGCAAAGTTTTTAGACACGTATAAGTGGATATCAATAATTTCACACTTTAGGTAATATTATAGCAAGTGAAAAATAGAGTAAAAAAACTGGAGAGTGTGCAAAATTTCTGTTAATCTGTTCAAATATGGGAAGAACAAGGTGATGACTTAAATGGCTAACCTTAAAATATTTCAAAAACAGCAAAATGTGTACTGATGAAAATACACATTTGTGATAAGCATAAATGAGAAATAGTAAACAAAGATCCGGAGAAGCAGTAAAAGATCTTTCTTAAATAGTGAAAGCACACAACTACCAGAGAAGATAATGAAGTATGACACATCAAGAAAATTTAGATGGTGTTGGATAAAATGTTGAAAAACAGAATTCAATCAAAATTTAAGATCAAATTAATTTTTGCTCCGCTGCAAACTTTATTAAATTTGGGAACAAATACTGGGAGGCGACGTTCCATACCTGTACTTGATGGCCGGGCTGCATTGGATTTTGAAGATGTTTTAGATGGTGCTGCCGGTTTGGCTGGCACAATAGCTTGGGCCTTCTCAAGAGCTACTACCACTTGGTCTTTTGAGGTAGGCTTAGGTAAAAAGCAATATTAAAAAAAAAATGTACAGTTAAATTAATACTACAACCCTTCTAAGAATTTTACACTTGATATATTCCAATTGGTTTACATTAGTTGAATCGCTAACCAAGAACCAAATCTAGGTTACTTATCAGACACCAAGTAAAGATTAGTTAAGGTATTCATTAGTTAAATAGTGAAGTGATAAGCATCAGGAATAATACAAGTCTTGGGGACAATAAGGGTACACACAAAGTTCTGGGTGAATTCAGATTTGCGAGAGAGTGAGAATCAAGGGTAACTGGGGATTACTTCAAGGCCAGAGGTGGAAGTTTCAAACATTTAAAACTTTTCCTTATTGGCAACAGAATGAAACACATGATCACCTAAATCTCTGGGGAAATTTTGTTGTGTATAGATATTAGTTCATTTCCACTTTATGAAACAAAATCCAACAAACATAACTGGAATTCAAATTTTAAAGAATTGAAGTACCTTTAACTTGCCAGCAGCCCTGACCATTTTCTCATAGCTAAGATGCATCATGAACATTGGCAGTGCATCTTGCGCCTTCTTTCGGACATCTCCATTTCTATCTTCCAAGCAAGAATACAGATGAGGCAAACAAAGAATGAGGTCAGACGATGCAGATCGTAGCGTTGGTAATTTATCTGCCAGCCAACCTAATAACTAAGCAGTAAACAAAACGTAAGCATTTAGTCTAGTAAATGTTTTACTAAGGTAATGAATCAGCTTAGACTTGCCTCCTGCCTGAGGAAAGGATTTTCCTTCTTCAATTCTTCTGAAAGGTCTTCACCATCGAGCCATTCTTTCATACCAGTCTTCTCAACCCAAGAATTCAAAGTTGCAAGAGCTGCTGCCCGAACATTAGCCTAGGTGGAAAAATATAGCCTTGCAAGTTATGGCAAATTTGCAATCGGAATTAAGTCACATTAGTCCATCTAGGAAGCAGCTAATCTTACTACCAGTATATATTTTGCATTTTTTTTATTAACCCTCTTAGTAGCCAATATACTCAACCAATAGAGTTGTCTGTAAAATCAAAAGGAAATTAAATTCCGAGAATATTCGGTAAACATGTAGGGTTACAGGCATAGGAAAGAGGGGTGGGATGCTCTTAGGAGGGTCAGTGCAGACTCAATGGACTGAATGGCCTGCTTCCACGCTGTAGGGATTCTATGCAGTTGGACTTAATGCATATAAATAAGCTGATCGAAAACTGGATTAGGTCTAGAAGCAAAATTTAAAAGTAACACCTTACTTAGTACAGATGATTATTGATTCAACGGATTTAAATTCAACTCTAATCAGAAAACTTAATTATTTCAGTTATAATAAAATGCCATGGAAATTAATCTCAACAAATCATTTGATCCTATTTGCTATCCTTTTGTGTTTGTACACTGTCCCTTTTTGTCCAACTCTGGGCATTATTATTCAAATAGCTCCCTGCAATATCTTTTCGTTTTATAAGCTTACATCTCCCCACTCCAGAAATCACTGCCACCAGTTTTCCAACCCATTTAGCTTAAAGCTCTCTACAGCCTTCACTATTACATTCACCAGGACACTGGTCCCAGCATAGTTCAAAATGATGCCACCCACAAGAACACCTTGCTTCAACCCCAGTACTGGTGCCTGTGCCCCAGGAACTGAAATCTCTGGGCCATGTATTTCATGCCTTGATTTACTTATCCTATGCCAGTTTACCATTGTTCAGAGTAATTCCAAGATGACTAACTTGGAAGTACGGCTTTTAAAATTGAACTCCAACTTTCAAACTATTTCAGCAGAACTTCAGTCCTAACAAGGTTGCTGTAATCAGTTTTGATAATTCTAGCAAAATAAAACTATATATAAAAAAAGAGAAATTATGCTGAAGTTGCATAAATAACATGGTGACCAAATTTCAAACTAAGTGCTGGAGAGAGTGCAATAAGATATAATTATCACTTATATTTCTGTTATCAGCAGTTCACAGAATTATGGAGATAGAAAACACATTGTCTACTCTAACACCTGAGAATCAGTGGAACTATAGACTATCAACTTCTGGGAGTCACCAAGAAATAAAACCAGGAAAGAAGAGGCAAGCTCTTTATCCAGAATGTGAAAATCTAGAACTCACTGCAACCGATAGCTGTAAGTAAACAAGTTAGGATGCTTTTTCACAAAAAGGTCAGATACCCAACAATGAAGGAATAAAAGAAAATAACATGCTCAGTTAGATGAAGGATAGGAGACTCAAAATCAACCAGCATGGACTGGCTGCATCAAATGGCATTTCACTGTAAATTTTACAAAGTATACACTCCAGGCCTCAGACATGATCTCATACCTCTCATCCTTTCTATCTCCGGCATTCCTAACCACACATACTACAAATCAATCCCACCACCCGCTGAACCTAAACAATACCTTGTCTTCTGCTGAGGGATTCCCTTCAATTGCTTCTACTTTCATTGCCAGATGATTTATGCAGCAAAAGGAGCAGGAGGTCAAATGAATTAGTTAAGCCACGTAGCTCATTTCTGTGCTGTATATCCTATTCAATCACAGAATCCCTACAGTGCGGAAAGAGGCCATTTGACCCATTGAGTCTGCACTGGCCATCCAAAGAACATCCCATCCAAACCCAGCCCGCTACCCTATCCTTGTAACCCTGCACTTACTTACCATTGCTAATTCACCTGGCCTACACATCCCTGGGCACTACGGACAATTTAGCATGGGCCAATCCACCTAATCCTCACATCTTTGAATTGTGGAAGGAAACCAGAGCACCATGCAGACACAGGGAGAATGTGCAAACTCCACACAGCCAGTCACCCAAGTCTGGAAGTGAAGCCGGGTCCCTGGTGCTGAGAGACAGCAGTGCTGACCACAGCCACCGTGCCGCCCGCCACTACCGCTACCACCACCCTCCCCCCTCAACCCCCTCCACAATTTAATTCAAAATTCAATTGCAATTTCTTAAATACTTCAGCCATTTGAAGTAGAACGGTCACAACTGCTGTCAACTGAAAATCTTACCTTGCTATCACCAAGCACGGTGATAATTGGTATACCCAGGGTTTTCACATGTTGCCTAATATTAGGTCCCATAGCTGTTGCCATCTGCTGTAGGGTCACAAGAGTTTGCTGAACCTGGAGAGAATCAAAAAACAGATTCAGACCTTCCTTTAAGCTGTAGATACAGTGAACAAAATTAAGACTGTCACCCATTCTGAATCCTCTATAGTGAGGGTAAAACAGCTTGAGATTTAAATATACAGTCTGATGCTCACTCAAAATATCTAAATCTTAAACTTATAATGCAGGTCAGTTTCATCCATTGTGGGATATTCTGGCTTAAATCTAGCCACACTCACAAAAATTCAACATTACATGAAGTTACATGTCTCAGTAACATTACTAGAGAAATAGAGATCACAGGTGGTTCTCAAACCAGGAAAGCAACGATACATGAATGTCAACATTTACTTTTATCCTGGATATTGCAAGGGCTGTAGAGTAATGGATTCTTGGAAGAAACTTCAAATAGTTTCATTTCAAAAACCTGCAATATTATGAAGGAATGAAAGGCTTCTGATTATTTGATGGAAAAAAAAAGGTCAACTGGAAAATCAGGTCTTGACTAGGAAATTTAATACCAAAATCAGTTATCGAATGATTATTCCAAGCAAGTTTGCCCATTCTCAAATGGTATATCGCTCAATGTCCAAGTCGACAATAACAGTGATCATTTTTAAAAACAGCTGATTCAGCATTTGCAACTTGGACGGAATTAACATGCGGTGAGAGCGAGGAAGAATTTGCTGCTGTAATGTGTAACCTAAACAGCAGTTAGCAAAGCTTCCCCATACCCTATAATTAGAGTTTCACGGCTGTGTTATGAAGTCAAGGCACTGTGTATCTAAAGATTGTAGAGGAACGGGTTTCTCAATATTTAAGCATGACCCTAACAGATAACCAACTCAGCTCCAAAGACACCGTAAGTTGGAAATCTCAAACCAAAACGAAAACAATAAACAATCAAATTAATCCATCTTAAACACAATGGACTTACCAGAATTTTATTGGAGTCATTTAGCCGTCCTTTCAGTACTCCAGGAAGTTCACCAATATTTGGCTGAATAAGTTTTGCCTCATTCAGTACTGTATTCAATTCATCTAAACCTTCCTTCCTGATCTTCCAGTTTTTATCTCCCAGCTTTTCTAAAAGCTCTGAAGTAATCTTGTCACTATAAAATTGAAAAATAATACTTCACTTTGATGATTAGGCATTCTAACTCTTCTTTCATTGTCTGTATCTATAAAGAAAATAGGTGGTTCATTACAGTCCATCACATGTTTAACACAAGCAGGTTCATAAAATTTAAACAGACTTGACATTTGATCCCAATGCTTTAATTGCGTTCTGTTTTAGCTATTATTTATAACTTCCTGGATGCAAGCAGTTCTGACAAAGCCAGCACTTGCTGCTCATTCGTAACTATCTTTGTATATCGATGTTGATGATGAGCAAAGTTCTTCAATTTCTGCAGTCCATCTGGTGTAGCTACACCCATAGTACCGTTAGGGGAGGAGCTCTAAGAATTTGAACAGCACTTAGTTGTGGCATTTTGGAAATTTGCAGGTGATGGTACTATCATGTGTCTGCTGCCTAGGTCCTAAGTGATACAGGTCTCAGATTTGGAAGATATTTCAAAGGAGCCTTGGTGAGTTGCTACAGTGCATGTTACATTTGGTACACAATACTGCCACTGTAGAAGAGAGTTGTTTAAGGTGGTGCATGCAGTGCCAGAGAGTTGGCTTTTCCTGGATGGTGATCTTTGCGTAAACAAAACTAAGACCCAAGAGAAGAAATAGATCATCCCATTAAGTCTGCTCCAACATTAAATGAGAACATGGCTGATATGATCATCTTCAACTCCATTCTTGCCTTTCCCCAAAAGCCTTTGCTTCCCTTATCGATTAAAAATCTGTCCATGTAAGCCTTGAATATACTCGGTAACAGCCTTCACAGCCCTCTGCAGTGAAAAATTCAACAGATTTATTACACTCAAGGAGAAATTTCCCCTCTTGTGTCTTGAATGTGCGGCCCCTTGTTCTGAGATTATGCCAGTTGGTCCTAGCCTATCCCACAACGGGAATCAATCTTCCGCATTTACACTGTTAAGTCCCTGAAAAATCTTGTATATTTCTATGAGGATGCTTCTTATTGCTGTATATTCCAATGAGTACAGGTTCAATCCACCTAAACACCCCTCATAAGACAGTCACTCTATATTTTCCCTTTGGGAAGTCAGGAAGCAAGGCACCAGTCAAGAAGTCCTTACCACAGATGTGCCTTAGTAGGACTATCTGTATGCCTAGTCCAGTTAAAAGATTCTGGTTAATGATTAACCCCAGGCTGTCAATGGCACTGGTTTCAAAACAAAAAAAAAAAAAAATGGTAGTACCATTGAATGCAAGAATAATTAGATTTTTTGAGTTGGCTGCTGCCTGGCACTTGTGTAACATGAATATTACTTGTAGGCAGAGGAATTGCAAATACTGACCACTGAAATCAACGAAGAACAATTGCCACTCCTGACTTTATTATGAGACACGTCATTGATGAAGCAATTGAAGATAGTTGGGCTGAGGACACTACCCTCGGAGATCCCTGCAGCAACATCTTGAATAACTGAAGACTGAAGATCCAACAACCAACATCCATCTTCCTTTGTGCTAGTTTTGAGTGGCTAGATCCGTTCTAAAAATTTATCCCACTGAGCATGACTGCCCATCATGTTGTGTAGCAATACATTATGCTCAGGGCAAACACGGAACTCATCTCCAAAGACCACAGAATGGTCACACCCAATGTAGTCACAGACAGATGAAGCTGCAACAAGTAAATTGGCAAGGGTAAGTTAAATATGCTTTTTCCTCTTGTTGGTTCCCTCAACTGCCTCCAAATCTCTCTGTTGGCAGATAGGAGATTCAGAAGCCAACTCAGTGGTGGTGTTATTGAGTTAATGGCAGTGATGGGCATTGCTCTTGCTACCCTCAGCTCTTCTTCCAAGTGATGGTTAAAAAGGAAGAGTACAGAGTCATCAGTTGAGGGAGGGTAGGAGGCAGAAATCCATAAGAGGTCTTCTTGTCTATGTCTGAACTGATGCCATGTGACTTTATGGGATCTGCAGTGACAGCATCCTCTTAGAGAGCAATGCACAAAGCTATCAGTGAGACAGGTTAATCACTGAGCCCAAGACAACAATTAGTTTCATGATTTCACCTTTAGCATTTTAAACACAATAGGGTATGTCAAAAAACAGAAGATTCAAGTTTAAAAAGAACTAACCTTATGTCAGTCCTTGGCAAGAGATCTTGAACATTTCCATTTTCTTCCTCATCCTGTTCTTCAGGGGTTTCTTCGTCATCAGCATCACGTTTAACCAGTTTTCTGATGGGAGCGGGAGCTGTTTGTCCTTGCATCTATCAAGATAATGGATTTACTAGATCTACTTGGGACATCTGAACAATCCAAACATTTTTTTAAAGTTCATATTTAAGATTTTAGATGCACTGCAGAAGACACTATAACATACGGCAATAGGGATAATATCAATCAAAAAAACAAATCTTCAATCATAAGATGCCAAAACTGGCATAATGGAATCAGGGGTATACAAACTGTATTAGCTAAACAGTGAATTGAGTAAGACAGCAGCAAACAATGGGTATTAAGTATGAGAAGATTCTATATTTTTTTAAAATAAAAATTACCTTCTCAAACTCAGCATCAATTTGAGACAGCAAAGCTGGTTTCTCATCTTCAAAAAACATTCTTAAGGGTGCTCCCATGTACAAGTACATCACACCCAACAAAGTGATTGCTGATGTTCGTACAGCCTACAGAAAGAGTGAAAGCAGTAAGGATTCAGAAGCAATTGCTACAACATACATAAAAATAAACTACAAAAACAGCCTCACTTACAGGGTTTGTTGCAGCCAAAGCAGTTTTCACACTACTGATGAAAGCTTTCACATTTAGCCTGCAAACAAACGAGATAAATAATTGAAACTGGCAAAAAAAAATCAAGTATTCCAAGAAAATCCCAGCCAACAAGTTAGAGTTTTACACAAACACTTTGTACAATTAAAGTATTCCTACTGATGTTACTTATGAATTGTAATACTATAATGTTTATAGCTTCCAAAATATTAGATTGAATTGGATAAGATAACGTGTTCTAAAATTGACCAGTGTACTCCCGACTATTCTTCAAGAATCAAAATCAAACCATTAAAAATGGCCGAATTGCAAATCTATTCATAAGCAGGCTAAGAGATCACATACTTACCCAGCAAATCCAAACTCCTTGATAGCAGTCGATAACCAATTTAAAACTTCTGCTTGGTTTTTTGGGTTTTTTTGTGCAAAAGCCATGGCAACAACCTGCAAATAATTTTAAACGTCAGTGTCAGGGGCTTTTATTTTTTAAAAACAAATGTCCCCCACCCCCCCAAAACTAACTCATGTTTCCTAACATCAGTATTTTCACTTTCATTTTACTGATACTATGCTTTCACTAATGCACTCCTTTAAGTTCTGTTCTTCTCTCCAATGGAGAGGGAGGAGTGGAGGTGACCTGCCTGCTTGGTGATGGAGATGGGGTAATGGAGACAACCACCATTTGCCGCCAGCCTGAGACAATCAGAAGCAGGGATGGCTTTTGAAAGCAATCTACTTGAGGTCCACTTCCCATAAACTCCATCCTGAAAGCAGCAAAAACCACTTTCCTCATTGGATCCTTTGAAGACTGGGCATTGGCAGATGGCTTTATGACACAGAAACTGTCAGCTTCCAATTCGTTGGCAGCTTCTGATGAGGTAGGATTTCTACTGTGGAGGCCTGTGACAGGTTAAGCAATTCACCAGTTAGCTCTTAATGGGCAAATCTGCAACCTGGCAGCTCTGTTGTGGGGCAGAAAGTCAGCTGCCACTGAAAATACTCACTCCCATACTCTGATTCTTTCAATTCTAAACTCAGTCCATCTCTCGCTCTACAGATTCTGCCTGACCCAAGTGTTTCCAGCATCTTGTGATTATTTCACTTTTTTTGCTTTGCAGTCTTCACTAACCTGTTCAGCAGTCCATGGAAGGGAACATGCTTCGGCTATTGCAGTGAGCGCTTCTTTTGCTTTCATTCCACATTTTACATCTCCTATTTTATCAACTAGCCCATCCAGCACAACTTCAGCAGAAGTTGCGGAAAAGTTCCCTTTCTGAGCAATCAATGCAACGATATGCAATTTCATCTGCATTACCTGAAGAGGAAAATTAATTTCAGTTATCAAAACAAAAAAAAATTTGTTAATCACAAATGCTCACACTAACGAACTTAACACTTATGGAGAAGGAATGGTAAGTAAAGGGAACCCATGTGAATTCATATGAGGGGTATCATTAAACCTCACCCATGTCCATTGGCTCCAAGTACAGTTTGCCCCTTCGGTCTCCAATGGGTCCCACTCTTTCCCTGGTAACACTATTAATATACTTCCAAAAAGCCTTGCGGTTTTCCTTGTTTCCATCTGCCAAGGATATTTCACGGCCCCTCTGTACACTCCTTAAGCAATGTCCCACTCACTATACTTTTGATGCGCTTTACCTGACACATGTTTCCTTTTACTTATTGAAACTCTTGATATTCCTTGACATCCAGGGTTTCCTGGACTTGCTACGCCTGCTCTTCACTTAGAGGAAGATGTTGAATTCCCACTTTCAAAAAGTAGATTTATCTGCGAGTATCTACCTGCAGTCTATGTTTACCATGTCCTGTCTAATGATTCAAATCGGACTTCCCCAAATTTAGACAACTTCTGCACTATTATTCCGTTTCTTAATGACTTTGAAACTTCAAACACTTGATAAACTTCATTCCCTAGGATTAGGTTCAGTATTGCCCCATCTCCAGGAGTACCATGTACTGGCACAAAAACTTTTCCTGGATGTAGTTTAAGAATTCCACAACATAGAATTCTTTCAGAAAGGTGATTCCAACTTTGGAAGAACTTTCCACAAAAGTAACAGGACATTCACTCAAGTCTGTCTGCAATATGAGACAATGATCAACTTGCAGCTCAACTCCAACTGTTTCACTTACGTCCTTTCATACAAAATGCCTAGCCAAAAATCGATCACCTCCAACTTAAAGTAAGTTGCCTTTTTACGGAACAGAATTCCACACTTCTACCATTTTCTTTATGATCTTTCGAACGGCTTTGCTTTTTTAAAGAGGATCATAGAAACCTTTAATGCTGTATGGGTAAAATAAAGATAATATACTGACCAATAGTCATGATCCGAATAAAATGGAAAATATGCTTGGTTGTGTTGTCCAAGCAATGTAGGCCAAGGCACCAGGGGAATTCTACTGCTCCTTTTCAAACTATGCTGTGAAATGCTGTTTTAACTGAAGGAGCAGATCAAAGGCCTAGTAACAACAGGATGGTAACTCAGTGCAATATTCTGCAATACTACACCGTGCATCAGTTTTGGTTATGAAACGTACTTCTACAATATAAAATTATTTTCTCATTTAAAACTAACCAGACTTTTTTTTTTTAGAAAGAGAAAGCAATCTCAAACTCATTCAACATACAGCACGCATTTCAAATAAATCATACTTGGAAATTCGTTTCCTTCCAGCCTGGTTTTTTAGCCAGCATCCGCACTAGTGCTTGACAAGGCAACTCTTTCTTATCAGCAACTTCTACTCCCTGCAGAATGAAAAAAGGCATCAATTCCAAATAGCATTTCAATTATATGCACATTATATTTAACAACACATCTTCTAAGACTCTGCTCAAGCTGTTCAGTTACCAATTTGAGTTCAGAAAAATAAAGTCCAACAGCACATAGACATATTTTCAGACACAGCATAATCCTTAAGCCAATGTGAAAACCTAGTACTGCAACTCCGTTTAGCGGATATTCAGGATACATGAAGGTGGGGTAAGGCAGGAAAGAGAATGGCATAATTCCAACAAGTATTTGAACTACCATTGTTACAAGTTTACACTTATGTGAACTAAGTTTTCAATCTATGCAAAATTGGTGAAGGAGATAACTAAGCCACTTCAGAAAACGCAAAATGAAGTGCAAATTGATTAAAGGCAGATGATACATAAAAACAAAAAATTGATTACATCTACAGAAAGAATATTTGAAACAACCAAGGAAATTGAAACACCAGAAAGCCAGAGGTGATCATAGTCAAATTGTCAGTGCTCTAAAATCAAATGACACTAAGCACCAAGTTTAGTTCTAGTCATACAAACATAAATGGAGATACTGAAATATTGAAGCATATTGAAATACAGTAGATGCCAAGGCTGTTTTCTAGAACATGTGGCTTACACAATAATTAAATATCACATGTTGGGCTTTGGACTTTGAAAAAGTAACAAGAGGTATAGAAGACTAAAATGCTTGAAGGAAAAATATTCCAGGAAAGTTGTGTCACACCAAATAATTACCATAATGACTAACGATAACCATGATGAAATAGAGATAAAGGTTTCAGCCAATAAGAAATAAATTTAGCACTCAATCTGCAAGATTTTCAACAAAGATTAAGAGGTGGACTGAACTGGCAGATCATGGAACAAAGATGTGTGGGTTTCCTTCCTCCCTCTCTCTCCAATCCCCCTTACTTTCTAAAAGGGAATATTGTTGACAAGTCCTAAATTAGTCTTTCATCTCTGGAAATGTTTATTTAGTTAGTCTCTACAACCTAGGGGATCTTTCCACAAAGGACTCAAGGGTAGCATCTGCAAAACACCAAATTGGTGAACAGCAGCTCTGGCACACCAGCATGAAAAACTAAGACTAAGACTGACAACACTACAGGCAAAATAGGCAGCACTTGCAGTTTGATTTCTCACATTTTTGCGAGTGAGAAATCCTGGTTAAAGTTTGTGTAACATTATTCAAGCCTGTTAAACACAACACAATTACCTTCTGGAACTCCTCCATGCTAGCTAACCTTTCCTTCCAGTTGCTACTGTCAAGTTGCTGCAGACAGGACGCTGGGAGCACAGATGCAGCTCTCTCTTCACAAACCTCAATCTGTTAAAAAAGAAACTTTATCAATAAATGCCATCAATGAAAATTACTCAAAATATCTGTCTAAGTTCTAGAAACAAAGCAGCAATGGATTAACTGACATCAACACAAACTAGTAGCCCTTGTATAAAGATAATGAAAAATTTTAAATTCTATGCACTGTCAAAAGGTTCTTTTTATGTTTGGGAATTATGGGAAAACCAGCAATTGCTGCTCACTTCCAACTGTCCTTGAGGAAGTGCTGATGAACCGGCTTTCTGAATTGCTTCAATCCACGCACTGCAAGTACAGCTGACACAAACCTTCCTGTAGCATTTGTCTCAACTTAGTGGCTTGCTATGCCATTTCAGTGGACAGTTTGGAGTCAAACACATTGCTGAGAGTCACAGACAGGGCAGATGGAACAAGGATGCCAAATTTTTTACCATGAAAAAAAAAGCATTAGTGAATCACACTAGCTTTTATTGGAAAATAAATCTGAAATTAAATCAAATTGATTAATTCATTTCAAATTTTAGCTCCACCAGCTGCAAGGTGGAAACTGAACCCATACCTGCAAAGCATTAAAATTAAAATGAAATGCTGTGAACGTTGGATATCTGAAACAAGCAGAAAAGGCTGGAGAAACTCAGTTGGTCAGGCAGGGTCTGTGGAGAGAAAAACATTAACAGTTCAAGTCTGATAGGACTTCTTCAAGCCAGTTCTCTCTCCAGAGATATTTTTGGATCTGCTGAGTTTCTCCAGCATTTTCTGCGCTCATTTCTGCGAAGAATTAGCCTGGGTTTCAAGGTTACTAGTGCCATTGTCACTATGCCACCGTACACCATCTTGATTACTTAACTGTTTCCAGCTTATGGAAATCCGAAATAACAAATTGCTTGAAATATGCCTTCCACAACACTTCTCCTATCACTTTTTTTCTTTCTGTTTCATTCAAAATGTGTTTATCACAGGCACTCCCAAGTTCAAATGATGGGTCGCTTTCTCAACAGATGCCACCTGAGTATTTCTGGCAACTATTTCATAGTCATTATTTTTGGACACATTTCTGCAGAGCATCACAATAAAAACTTAAGTTGTGTCTACTGGACAAGACCCATTATTTAAACTAAAGACAGATTAGCCCTGGAACCTTGTATCATTTCCTAGAAGATTCCCGGGGAGATTTCTTGTCCTACAGCAAGAAGCCTCCTAAAAAGGTCTTGAACAAATTGCCAAGAAAAGACAACTCCAAAAGCTATTTCTGGCTGTTGTTAGAATAGTCAGATAACGTAATTCCTGACCCACTTTCCTAATTCACCTATATAAAAAGGGACAATAAATTAATCCAGTGGAACAAAATTTACCTAGTTACTTTTGCTTAAAAATATTTTGGATGCAGACTAGCACCCTGTTTTCAAAAGGGCTAGTCCAGACAGGGCTGACCGGGAATCTCGGGCTGACAGAAACATGGTGATATTTAGGGGACAGAAACCAAATAATGCCTTCTATTCTAGTTTTGCATGCACACATTCACAGGTAGAGAATATGTGAACATAAAACACTGCGACATTCTGTAAGGCATAACAACATCAGTGGCACTCGCAAAGAGAAAACAAAAATACTTGTACACCTCCTGGGCTGGCGTATTTCCTACAGCTGGAGAGCTTAATTGGGTCTTGGAGTTCCACTGCTTTTAATAAAGTCACTCACTCAGACCAAGGCTGCTTTGCAGCCAAATGCTAAATCAGCTTTGCTGCTTTACTTATCTCTAGCTACTTCCCAAAAATAAAGGAATAACTTGTAGCCAAATCGTACCAAGATTGGTTTCACTGAGCAGTTTTTAAAAAAAAAAACTCTAGGTGAGTTTAGCAAGGCCAACTGCCCATGCCTAAATGCCCTTGCGAAGAAGGGGATAGTAAGACACTTTTCTGAGCACAACTGATTGTCCTCTAAAATGATTTAGTAAGCCAGTTAGGGATCAACCACATTGTTGTGCATCTGTGGTCATATAGGCGAGACCCACTAAGGATGGCAGATTTCCTTCCCCAAAAAAAGGGTAGCTATGAACCACATAGCTCTTTATGGGCAGACAGGAATTGAAGGGGCCGTTCAGCCCCTGCCGGCTGTTACATCATTCAATGAGATATGTCTGTTCTGCAGCCTAGCTCCAGATCCCTGCCTTTGGCCCATATTCCTTATAGTTTTGTGAAGCAAAGATGTTATCTATTTTAATGATTTCTCGGGAACCTTTACTGTTTAATTTTATTCCAGATATACTTAACTGAATGCAAATTCCTATCTGCCTTTGACAAATCTAAATTCAAGTCTCTGGACCACAGCCACCTGCCATGTTACTGTGCAACAATTAAATTATCATTTAAAAATAATCACCTACAAACTGTAAATACAATATAAAAAGACAGCAGTATTTTAAGTTTAAACTTAAGTTAATACTTACACTAAGTTCAGGCTCCACCTCTTTGATCTCCACTGCTTTTTTCCCTTTCCCACCTGGAGCAGAAGCAGGTCCTGGTCCTTTTAATTTTTTAGTTAGTCCAACCTGTAGAACAGTGTTACTTTTGAATAACTACAGTCCATCCTAACTCCTATATTCATAAATATAGAAATACTGAACTTCTATGCTATTCTACCACATTATAAGAAGACAGAGATACAGCAAGTTCACTAAATAGCTTGAATAAATTTCATGTCACAGGTTGTGATAAATCGCTATCACAAACAAAGGTCATTTTCAAATAATGACTGTATGCCAAACTAAACGAACACAATTTTTACTACATGAAATGCAAACACTAAATTTAAACGTTTTTTTGCATTCAACGGCAGAGAAAGCACCCTGCAAGAACACAAAACCTAGTACAAGTTACGAAACATCATGATCGTAAGTGCAAATATGTTAATTACACAATTGACATAACGAGTAAACATATTCATATTTTAAATCCATCCTACCTTGTTTGAAAGTTTCTTTGGCGGCCCAGCAGTTTTTGTTGCAGGAGCATCAACTTTGTCACCAGAGTTTGAAGATGGTGCAACTTTGACTTGCGGCGCAGACTTTACTGCTTTTGTGGCAGTAGCACTTTTATTCCCATGAATCAGTTCCACCTTGTCTGAACATTCTTTAATCTGAAGTGACAATAGTTATGCTATCAAATGGTGAAACGCAATCATGCAAAAGACTGTTTTTAGCACAAATCAAGCAGTTTTTTACAATCAAATGCAGATTAAAACCATAAAAACTCAAATTTATAATTGCAAGAGTAAATGATTTAAGCATTCACCATCTTGTACACTGCCTCTGCTCCCACCCATTAAGTCTGCACTGGCATTCAACTATACCATGGTGGTTATGTATCGCACATTAATTTAGCACTGTTTATCTTAATCCAAGACCTTTACCTAACAAAAATCCAATTCTCAATTTTGCTTTCTATTGCCCCTGCATTGAAGAGACAAGAACAAGAGCAGAAGTGTTCCAGATGTCCTCTATTCTTTGTGTGGGCCAGTGCTTTTTGATCTCTCTCCTCAATGACTTTAAGATGAAGTTGTGAATTCTCCAAAGGACTTTTTTTTTTTAAAAATACCTCAGAATTAGTTTAGTATCTACCCTACCAAACCTCTTTAATTTGTACTCCAATACTTCAAACCTCGGAAACAAAGAAATTAATCAACCAATCTGTAACTTATACTAGATATATTTCTCGTGCTTCAACTTTACTTACTTTAAGGCTCCACGCATTATTCAAAAGCCTTCTAAAACTCCAAATATAATCATACACACTGTCTATGCTACATGCAAAAATCAGTAAACTGAACAGGTTTGTGAAATATGATTTGCCTATCATAAATCCGTGGTAATGGTCTAATTTTTCTGTTCTTTAAAATGTTCAGTTATGACATTGTACATAACAAATGCCAACACTTTGCCTACTATTGACATCAAGCTAACATATGTAATTTCCATTCTCCCTCTTTCTAAATAAAAGTTTAGGTTTGCTTATTTCCAACACAAAATCCAAAAATCACCTGACCCTTCACTGGGTTTAGGAGTGGCAGGTGGAGTTTGATTTAGATAAATGTGAGGTGCTGCGTTTTGGAAAAGGCAAATCAGAGCAGGAATTACACATTTAACGGTAAGGTCCTGGGCAATGTTCCTGAACAAAAAGTGCAGGTTCATAGTTCCGTAGATAGGATAGTGAAGGCAGTGTTTAGTATGCTTGCCTTGATTGGTAAATGTTGCAGCTGTACAGGACTTTGGTTAGGCCACTTTTGGAGCATTGCGTGCAACTCTGGTCTCCCTCCTATTAGGAAGAATGTTATGAAACTAAGAAGTGTTCAGAAAAGATTTACCAGGATGTTGCCAGGGTTGGAGTGTTTGAGCTATAGGGAGAGGGTGCATAGGCTGGCATTATTTTCGCTAGAGCATTGGAGGCTGAGGTGTGACCTTATAGAGGTTTATAAAATAAGGGGCATAGATAGGGTAAATAAGCCAGTTCCTTTCCCTTGGAGGTGGGGCATCCAAAACCAGAAGGCTTAGGTTTTAGATGAGAGGGAAAAGATTTAAAACAAGACACCTATGGGGCAACTTTTTCCACACAGAGGATGGTGCATGTATGCAATGAGCTGCCAAAGGAAGTGGGGGAAGCTGGTACAATTACAGCATTTAAAGGCATCTGGATGGGTATATGAATAGGAAGGGTTTAGAGGGATATGAGCCAAATGCTAGACAATGGGACTAGATTTATATAGATATCTGGTCAAGTTGGACCGATTGATCTGTTTCTGTGCTGTGTATCTCTATGGCTGTTCAACATAATGTTCAGGAATCCATCTTATATACACTTCAGGAATTCCTCCTCAACAGCATTATTACTGATTTGGTTAACCTAGTCTATAGGCAGATTGAAGTCACCCATCATGACTGCATTACCCACGTACATCTCCAATTTTCCAAATTTATAGTGTATGCAACATTAGCGCTAAATTTTGTTTACCCTTGCCATTTCTTAACTCCACACAACTAATTCTATTATTCTGGTCCTGCAATCAATAGTCCTCTCACTAATGTACTGTCAAGCTTTAGAGTGCTACAATGACAGATAAATCATATCTACTTAGCTCAACTTGTGCCTTCAAGTCAACAACCATTTTGTGAATGCTACGCACAGACAGATTGTAAATTTAAGTCATTCTTCATGTTGATCCTATTTGATGTTTACTATTGCCTCAACTATCTCCTCTTTTTGCTTACTACTCTTATACTAGCTTTGATTCTCTTGAATTCCGAGCTCCTTATGGTCCAATCCGGCTGCCAATCTAATTTAAATTCCCTCCAACAGAACTAGCAAAGCCCTTTGCTCAGATATTAGTTCCGATCCTGCAAAGCCACAACCTGTCCATCCTGTGAAGGCCTTATCTAACCAGAACTGCTCCCAATGGTTCAAATCTAACGCACTACTTCCCAAACCAGTTTTCAAGCCACATACTCAATCACAATTTTCCTGTTTTTGTGCTCACTAGTATATGACACTGGAAGTAATCCTGAGGTGATTGCTTTGGAGGTCCTGCTTTTGCATATCCTTTCCAGCTCCCCGATAACTACTTTCATTACCTCATTTGCCTTCCCAGTAAAGTCATCAGTCCCAACCAAGATGGAGCAATCTCTGGCTATGCACTCTCCCACTAAAGAATGGCCTGCAGCCCTTCCCAGACATCCCTACTTTGGCACCAGCAAGGCAATGTACCACCCTGGAGTAGTGTTTAGAGCTGCAGAAATGCCTGTCCATTCCCCTAAGGAATCCCCTATCAACTGTTACTTCCAGATGTCCACCTCTTGCCCTTCCAAGTCACCCGTGTTGCCACTGAATTGGTCTGTTTGTACTCTGATCGTGACTGTTCCCTCAGCATTTCCACACGAAACTTCCTACAATGTGCAAAAGATGAAACTTAATTCATTTTATATTGTCAGATGAGTTCAGCTAACATGACAAATTTAACTGCAATATTACATCTCCACATTTTGTACATCAAGCTGTACAAACAGGTCATTATACACATCCCCAACTTCACACCACTGTCTGAATTTCAAACAGGAAAAGCAAGACATTCAGCCAAAATTAGATTAGAGTTCTTGACATATGATTCTGGGAAGAATGTCTTTTGAATAGTGATATTTACTTTAAATAAAGTGAGGAAAAACATTTTTTAAAAGACGATTTTTGTGGCACCTCACCTTGTCAAGTTTCAACTTATCAACATCAACAAGGAATGGATTCATTAACCTTTCGCCAACAACTTTTAGAGCAGTACCCAGTGCTTCAAAGGCAGCATCCCTTACGTCAGCTGCAGAATCATTAATTTGCTGCAAGGAATTAGATTACATTAGTATTGCTTGCTCACAAGATTCTGAAACGAAAACTTGAACAGCGTAATTGAAGAGTCATAACCAATACAATCTTCACCTACATACCTTAAGCAGTGCAGCACAAAGCGGCTTTAAAAGACTTTTTGGCAATGTGGAAGCAGTACAGTAACGAAAACTTCTTGCCAAGAAGAGAGATGCTTGTTGCTTGATTGATGGGTTTTTGTTATCCATTACAGCCAACACATCTTCACTTAGGTTCTGCAATGTGGTCTAAATCCAGGCATTTTGTTAATTATTGATCAGTGCAACTAAATTCTTAAAATCTATTCCAAACGTATTTTCAATGTGCGAACAGTGAACGTTCTATAATAAAGGCACCGTAATTTCAGGAATACAAATGGGATAACATTTAGTCAAACATAATTGATTAACTTGGTTTTCACAGTTTACGTGCAAAAATATGAGACTGCACTTTGAATAAAGTGGTTCCATGATGGTTATTAAATTTGTAGCTAATCATCACTGCAGCATATAACAGTCTGGATATGGAAGGCTACCGATGCTGGAATAAGTGGCGTTAATTTGTGAAAGTGAACCTCTGATTGGTACTTGGAGATTAAATTATGCTCAAGATAGACACGTTTTGGAAAAAGTCCACTTTCAATTTGCTGTTACAATAAAGTACATGATGAATTACATAGCAAGCTACTCCTAATGTAACCTAATACAAATACCATATAAAACCTTATATATGAATAATCTTTTCAGTTATTACTTTCATTAAAAGTAGGAAGATAGTACAAAATTTAAGCTACACAAAATTGGCTGAATTTTTAATATCAGATTAGGATGGTAGTTACATCTCAAAATAACATTATTCTGAAGCATGGTTTTAAAAAACGAGACAATATCATTTGTGTGTCAGGGAAGTCTAAGAGAATTTAATTAAACAGCTAATTTCTCAAGGATATCTAACTGACTGATAGACACGAGGGGGAAAAAGTACATTTCAGAATTTTAGGACAAAATCATCATTTGCACAACACTTTAAAGAATACATTTGTTGCATTTGCAACTTGTAACATATGAATGCTCAGTAATCATTTCAACTAATTTGTTTCATATGGGTTTCAGTTTGGTTATTAATTATATGGCCCCATCTGGGGCTCTTGTGCTGCAGTGGTAGTACTCTTCCCTATCTCTGAGCCAGGAGGACGAGGTTCAAGTCCCACCTGTTACAGGGGTGTGGAATAAATTAACGTGTTTGGAGACTTTTAAAAATAAAAAGAAAGGCCCAATCACGTAGATTTGTAGCAATGCTGGATACTCTTGGTTATGTAGTTAAGATGAGATTTGGAAGAAGAGTGCAGTAAATATGCTTCCTTGCAGCTCATGGTGTCACCATGAAGTGCACAAAGCAAAAGCACCTCAACTCTCAAGAATAATGGACGCGAGACTAGATTTTCTTTAGGCAGGGGGATTAAAGGATAATCAGGATAGATGGGAAATGTGGAATTCAAAACGCAAACTGATCAGCTATGAACCTGCTCTGCCGATCAAAGGAATGAATGGCTGACTTGTGTTCCTATTTTTGTAAGGTAAGGCCTCTAGAGTCTACAGAACATTTTTCTGCAGCCTTAAAAAGTGCCCACTGGGAATTGATATTGTTCATTGTTGGAGGTGTAGCACAGAGGGCTTAATTACAATTTCCTACTCCAGCATGACCTTTCAGATCCAGTTAAATTTTACAAATTCTGCCTTATTACAGTGGTAGAACTACCACCTCCCCTACAAAGTGATCAATTCAAATACCACTCGTGACTTCTGGACAAAAATCCAGGTTCACTCTTGAACACTACTGAAAGGAACATTGTTCTGAAACCATTGACCTTTTCAGATGGAACATTAAAAAGTCCAATCCTCTCTCTCTCAATGGAGGTTTAAAAAAAACTCATTCAATATGTCCCTCAATCAACATCACCAACAATAATCTGCTTATCACTTTGTTTGTGGGATCTTGGTGTGCAAATAAGTTACCATACATTTCAATTTGAGTAACCTTAAACAATATTTAATTGACTGTAAAGAGCTTTAGTCAATTAATATTGTGAAAACTGAAATAGATACAGGATGTCTTTCAGGTTTTTCTGGCTAACTACAGAAATTTGCAATGGGCAGAGAAACAAATTATTTCAAGAGGGGACAAGTTGAAAATTATAATTAGTCTGGAAAGTAATGCAAGTCACAAGCTCTCAAGACTGCCCTGGTTAAAAGTAGCACAGCATTGAAATAGATGAAAATATATAGACAGAAAGATTGTCTTCAATGACCAGTGAGTCAGTGACAGGGGCTTAAGAATGATCAACAAGATAAAATTAACACAGGAATAGGTCAATGACAGGCACCCATCTAATGCAAAATCAACCACACACCATGACCTTACTGTGCATAGAAATTTGTCAATGTATGTAACCTTCACTGGATAAGTCCTGCATATTTGATTCTGTAGTCATATATGAGCAAGAAAATTAGATGCTGAAGTCAAAGTTTTCAAATTCTGCCAGAATTGTAAAATCCCAAACAAGTTAGTGAGAACTTACTGTAAGAAAAACAGCATCAATAGCTTCTTGCAAAGCCTGAACTACTTGAGGTTTCTTCTCTTTAAACTTTTCCAAAAGGGTTGGCACCACCTGAGAAGATTGAATATTTTTATATCAAATAAAAATAAAAGACTGTGATCCAAGGATGTTGATAATAAAGTTTGCTGAAAAAAAAAATCAAATCTACAAGTTGGCTCATTTCAAACTACAAATCCCAGATTTAATTCGAGACCCATCTGTAGTCACCAAATTTCAAATCAATGAAGTATGTGGAACAGTAAGGGAAAAGGAAACTGCAATACTGACCTAGAGGGAGAGGATCACATTCCAAGCTTCCCTAAAAAGGTACGCCTGCAGAGTCTCAACAAAACAAAGGCAAATAAGACAACACTAACAACCAACATGACGAATTGCAGTTCGTTTGGTGTCACTGGGTCAAAATCCCAGAACTCCCAAGCAACACTGAAAATGCATCTCGCTTGACTTTAGAGGGAAAACATAAAATTCAGATCGAGCAAGGCGGTAGGTAAAACAGTGTGAACGCATGGACACCACCTTCCAACCTTCCTCCCCACAATATGGAGGGTGGACAGGCACTCAAATCAACAGCTCTTCCACTGCATGTAAATAATTGCGAGCCTGCTGAGCTCATCAAAAGCTTAACTGATCCCATTGTTACACTTCTCTTAAAAACAAATGAATGAACAAGACACCATCTTTGCAAGATGCCCTTTGTCCATCCAGGACAGTCTCTAGTACATAGTAGCCCTTTCTTCATACTTGCTTATAAAACCCATTCATTCCTCTCCAATTTGTGGAAATGGAGTACCAGTCAGTTCGACTGGCCAGTAGCTCCAGAGGGTGGCACTCCCTCCCACACAAGGTCACAGATCAACCATAATTTCACTGAATGGAGAAACACAAAATACTAACACACATGTACATGGCTGAAGGCATGTTACACAGTCAGAGGTGCAGTCTTTCAAATGTGATATTCAACAGTGGTCTCATTTGTCTGCCCAGCTGCAGTCCAAGGACAATATTCTGAACAACTATAGGAGAGCTTTTCATTAGGTTCTGGTCAACGTTCATCCCTCATTCAACATTGCAAAAGCAGCCATTTGAGAGCCTGTTGCACCCAAACTGGCAACTATATTTCCAATATTATAACATTAACTTCAGAACCGACTTATTGCCTGCATGATAATTTGAGGAGAGGGATGATCATTACAAACCAAAGAAAAAACAAACTAGTTTTCCTTTCTTTATCCAACTAGAGAAACTTCCAGGTGGGTATTAAAGATCCTGCACTTGGAAAACAGCTTCAAGCCAACAATCCTGCATAAAATTCAGTTGTCTTGCACAGTCAACACTAAAAACAGAGCTACATGTCAAAGAACCATTGCAACTCACCAGCACCTCTCCCAATTTTAAAGAAACATCAATAAAAATAAATTGTTTGTACAGCAGCATGACAAGGCAAAATACATGGAACACATTTTCTCCATAGAGTATTCAGAAGAAGTCCCTCATTTTTTGAAACTTACATGAGTAGCATAGGTTTGGAACTTCTTCCGGAGTCCAGAAGCTAGACCCGCAAGACATTTTGCGCCCAACGCCACAAGCAATACATTCGAGTCCTTCCCAATAACCTGAAGGGAAAATGTATGCTTCTTTTAAAAAAAAAGATAAGGTGCCTGGAACTGGGCAAAACAGCATTCTTATTGCCCAGCATGCATGATTACTCACAAGATTAAAAATACCAGGAAAAGGCAAGGTTGACATACAATCGAGGGAGGAGTGAATAGATGGCTCCAAGCTCAAATAATTCAGCTGAGCCTTTTCTTAATTTATGGGTCTACAATCAAGGAAATCCATCTTGACAGCTCGTGCTATTGATTGTCATGGGTCACAAGTGATGGAAATACTAACAACAGACATCTTGATTCTTTAAATATCTACTTGTAAGTAAACAGGGACACTGAATAGATAAAGGGAAATTCCATGCAAAGACTTCAATGTTATACTCAAAACTGAGATTTAAGTATGCCCATGAGATATATGCAGACTTGACTGAGCGAGTGAATCTTTGCCAAGTTCGAAATACTAGTTATTTATCAGTCTGAATAAGGTATGCATACACCCAGAGATTCAGTTTGACTCTCGAGAGATGAACATATTTACCATGAAGCAGCACAGTGAAAAATTAACAGTCAAGCGCTGAATAAGATATATGGGACAATGACCCTTTTCACAAGGAAAAGTCAAATATGAATTGGGGGTATTTGTAATGCCACTCATTCTACATGAAGAACCTCTGCGCCAAATAACATAGTTCAACCAATTGAAATTTTCCTGGTAGTAGTCAAATTTGTTGAAAATGCATTTCCAGGATAGAAATTGAGCTTGCAAGACCAGAATAATGAAGAACTATAAAGAAACACAAAAACACTGAGTTGGAAATACAGTCTTGGCAATTCCCTCCCATTGTAACCTAATAAACTGCAGCTATCATGTTACACTCCTGACTACATGCTGAACTTTTAGAATTCACTGGCACAGATATCAAGATCTTTAACTTGAAGCCTTGCTGCATTCTGGAAAACCACATACATTCAGTAAACGAAGTTAAAATTGTAAGGGTTAAAAAAGGCATTTTATACATGTGAGAAATTGAGAACAAGCAGCTCGACAAAGGAATATTTAATGTTAAATGCAACGGCCATTTAAACTTTTATGCACAATTTGTCACACAAGCCTGACTGATATATACTTACTTTTTTAAGTGCTCTCACAACATCTGCATAATCTCCAGATTCTAGTTTGGGGTTTTTCACAAGCACCTCAAGTGCTTCCAAGGCTTCTTTCCGCTCCTGCCATTTTTTGGCCTCCTATTTTAATTAAAAGAAAAGAAGCCACCAGGTCAGTTTGAGCAGTGCATATTTAGTGTGCTAATTGATAACATTAGAATAACCAAGTCAAGATTTACTTGTGGCCACTTACCAACACCAGATAATTGACAGTGCTTTTGTAGTTATGAATTTCTGAATCAAACTCCAGTTTAAGTGAAATTGGAAAGTTTAACACAGGTCGTGCTTAACAAAAAGATTTTTACTTAGATTAAATGTCAACAGGGGTTTTTTGCTAATTGATCAACAAACAAGGAAGGCATAGCATAGCGGTAATGTCACATTACCAGCAATGCAGAACCTGCATCTGGGGATTCAAAAAAACAATCTCTGTCATTTTAAAAACAAAAGCAAGCCCAATGGCAACCACATATCTGAAACAAGCACTATCATAAAGACCCATCTGGTTCACTAACATCCATACCTGGTCTGGCCTTCGTGAGACTCTTGGGCAATAAATGCCCAACACCCACATCCAGAGAATTAAAAGATGCCCTATAGAATGGCTGCTTGAAATTTAAGAAACCTTGCAAAAAGCCAGGTATCTTGAATAGTCCCAACCATGACATCATATTTTATATACCTCACACTCTCTCACACACACACAAAAAAAAAACCAAGTGAGCAGTAAACATTTAATTTTAAATGCTGTAGTATAGCCGAGCTACCAAAAAGAGTTTCAAAAACAGATTTGTTTGCAACATTGCAACTTAAATTTACAAGGTCTATAATAACATCAGGCACATGTAAGAGAACTGGTTGCAAAATTAGGTAATCTAAGCCGACTAGACTTTTATTCCCCTGAAGTCAAGCAATAGGTTAAAGTGCTCACTAGAAGTCTGAAACAGATCCAATATCCATCAACATCATTTGATTGCAGAAATAGAAGGTAAAGATTTTTGCATTACAAATACTTTCTCCAGAACGACCAGCTTCAAATGCAAAACCATCAGTCCAGGAAAAAAAAGTAACGAATATTCAAAATTTCCAATCAGTATACGACTTATCAAGTAACCATGGCCAATTTAATGAAATTATGTTCTGAACTGCAGTACTGTAAGTATACATTTGATCTTTATGTAAAGGTTGCTGAATGTTATCAAAATTACAAAAATATTCCCCAGTGTTTTAATCAAACTGCACAAATAATAATGAAGGAAATTATAATTCTCTCCACAATATAAAATGTGCATACAAACTTGATTACACTTACAATTTTTTCATAGAAATCTTTAGGAAGCTTTGAAAGTATCTCAACAGGTTCTAAAAGGTCATACGCATCCACAACAGGGGCTTCATCTTCCTCAACACCTATGATGAAAACCATTAGGTATCTTTACAAAAAGAAAGACAATAAATTATAGTATTTGTCAAATCTAAGCTGTAACTGGGACTGACATTAACAAATGCTCAGCATAAGGATATCTGTCCTTTGCAACAGGTTGTCTATTTTCCATTTTCTCAAAGCATATACCTTAAAGGAATGACAGGCTGAGACTCCTTTCTTGGTGAAAGAGGCCATCAATATAATCTAATCATCAGGAAACCCAATAGGGATTTTTTTTTTTTTTTTTAAAATGCATTCACGGGATGAGGGCAACGCTGGCTAGGCAGCATTTAGTGCCCATCCCTAATTCAAACAAACTTCTTCACCTTAAAAACAATAAAGGTGGCAAGAACATGAAACTATTGGGTACAGACAGTTATTGAAGCAAATCTCTCACACCCTCTAACCGATGGCAGACAATCCCTTTCACACTTTTGAAAACTCTCTCCTCTTCCCCACACCCCCAAAAGCCTACTACACTTATCTCTCTCTTCAGTCCTGAGGAAAAGGATCCTTGACCCGAAACACTAATGAGTTTCTCTCCCGAAGCCGCCAGACCCAAGAATTTCCAGCACTTTTTAAAACTACTTGAACTTAAGTATTTTATTAATCCACTGGAACCTCTTGCCGCAGTTTACCAAAAATTCAGGATCTTGTAGGAGTCAAAACCTGTACCACATGAAGGATTCAATAAGCGAAGATCCTGATGAGCAGTGAATTTACATGATTTTCTTTGAAGCACGTCACTGACCTTCCTCATCATCACCTCCTGCTTGATGCTGTTCAAACTTGCTTTTGAGATCTTGTTGAGAACGCAAAAACCGGGTCTGCCTGGGAGCTGTAGTTGGCAATTTAACCCATTCTTCTTCAAGTTCTTTCAACTGAGGAAAAAAACATTTATTTCTCATCTCTACAGTAGTTTTGATGCATGAATTACAAATTTCAGAACAAACATTAAGATATACCTGCACAGAATTAATATTTTGCAGTGGTGGTCGTAAGGCATCGCGAATCCACTTGTAGACTTCCACTGCCAATAATTTGGCTTCATCTCTAACAGCTTTCTCTCGCGATTCAAATAATTTTGGCAAAGCCTTGACAATTGGCTTGAGTTGTACAATTTTTGAACCAAACTCACTGAAATGAAATTGGAAAAATCACTGACTATTTTGCACAATTGTCCTGGATTTTCCCTCAAAAAAAGTGCAATTTAGATAGGGTAAATTATATTTTAAGTACCAGAGATATTATGGTGCATAATTCTGAAAAGGCAGGAAATGACAACATTCAATACAAGGAAACAAGCAATTTTGGAATGATTTTTATAGTTGTAGAAAAAAAAATGCAGTAGATACATCATATTTACCAGAGAGCCTTCCTTATTGTTTCTATACAGGCCACAACAATTTTAGGGTTCTTGTTGTCCAGTCCTTTCAGTAGCTCCTCTTGAACAGGCTCAGGCTTCTCTATTTCTATATACATTAGACATATTTCCATTCCCAATTCCTTGGCTCTTGCCTTTGGTTGGTTGAACACTTTATTTACAACTCCTGATGCTACTTCTCCAGTGGTTCTAAAATTATAAAATACAGTAATTAGTTTAACAACTTCCAAAAGGAGCTAAATAATTCTGCAACTATAATTGAGTATAGCTCGAGTTACCAGAGGTGCCAATCTCAATTCTAGTCTGCCCTCTCGAGTAAATGCAAAAGAAGCCATAGACTATTAGAAACATACATTCTCTTGTAATTTGTCCACCATTTATCCTTCAAAAATCAATTTCAGCAAAAATGGTCAGTCATTTTACTGGTCTGTTCAGGATATTGCTGCATGGAAGTTAGAAGCCTGTCTTCTGTTAGAATGGCAACAACACGTGGCAAAATAAAGATTGTACTTGGTCGCTAGGGTTTTGTAGAACAGAAGAATGCATCCCAACTTTCTCTGTTGTTTAACTGGGGAAACAAAAGGAATGTTCTCCAAGTATTTCCCAATGGCTTCACCAAAGTCATTCACCCCAAAGAGCATGACCAAAAGGTTGAGTTAACAAGGTGTACAGCTGGATGAACACAGCAGGCCAAGCAGCATCAGAGGAGCAGGAAGGCTGACGTTTCGGGCCTAGACCCTTCTTCAGAAATGGAGGAGGGGAAGGGGGTTCTGAAAACAAAGAGAGAGAGGTGGATAGAAGATGGATAGAGGAGAAGATAGGTGAAGAGGAGACAGACAGGTCAAAGAGGCAGGGATGGAGCCAGTAAAGGTGAGTGTAGGTGGGGAGGTAGGGAGGAGATAGGTCAGTCTGTCTCCTCTCCACCTATCTGCTCCTTTATCCATCTTCCATCTGCCCCCC